GCCTGTAGTTACTAGGGTCAGCCTTGCATCCTTTTTTATGGATTGGGGTGATATTTGCCAACTTCCAATCATCTGGGACCTCCCCCGTGAGCCAGGACTGTTGGAAGATGATGGAGAGCGGCTTGGCAAGCTCTTCTGCCAGCTCCCTCATTACCCTAGGATGGATCCCGTCTGGTCCCATAGACTTGTGAGGATCCAGATGATTCAGTAAGTCACCAACTATTTCCTCTCGGAATACAAGGGGGCTATTTGGTTTCCTATCTCTAAGATCTCTTAGATCTTCTCTCTAAAGCAAGTTCACACAGTCCAGTGATTTATGAGGCAATTGGAAGTGGACCTTGGAAGTGGTCTATCATATGCAGGCCAGATGCTTGCTTACATTTACTTTGCATAAATACTTGATTAAATGCCTTGGATCATTTGCTTCTAAAATGTCAAAAGCTGAAGCAAGTGAATGTGGCAGGACAGTGCAACTCACTGCTTGTGATTTCAGTGTGGCCTTAATTCACTATGACTGAGTTTAGTCTACACAACATTGCACGTGAGAAATTGCAGGAAGTGCCATATATTTTTAAAATACTCTTCCTTTCTGTTCTCTTGATACTGGACTTTGAAAGAAACTGGTCTGGCATGGCTGTGGGCCTGTCTCTAATGGCAGCAGGAATTAAGGGGAAACACAAAAGTGGGGAAACAATAACCTCAGCAGTTGGAGTGGGAAGGAAAAGTCTACAGACATGTAATTTGGCTGTAAAGATAGTGGAGCCACAGGGAATTAACTGGCTCTTCCTCTTGCAATGCAATAGTTTTAACACAGCTAGAACTAAGAGGATGAAATGTAGTATCATTCTGGAGCTTGGGATTGCACGAAGGGAGTTCACAGCTTCTGGTGTCCAAATCCTACCCGTGGTTCAAGCACTTGGACTTTTAAAACATTTTGAAGTGCTGCTTTAAGGATAAGGTTGTGGGAATTTGGGGGGTTATGGTTTGGGGTTTTTTTCCTTTTCCTCCCTTTTTCCTTTAAGAGTGTGTTTTGGGCCAGGACTGGCTTTCAGGCTTTGCATTAAACTGCACAACTTCTAACCTGAGGATTGGGGCCAGAAGTTATATGATAACAAATTACTCAGACTACTTTTGTTCTGGATCCTGTTCTCAAACCTAAGAAGTTCTTACTGAATGCAAAGAAAGTTCAGTTCTGGTAGACCTGTCTGTAAATTTTTAAGGATAAAATCCATTCCTGGGGCCAGCTCTACTGCTGTTGAATTAGGATGCTGCCATATGAGGTGGAATAGAAATCAGATCACAACTATATTCTTAAAATTAGCGTAGTTATTGTTCTCCCCACATCCCAAATACCTGAATTCCATAATGAAGCTATGAGTTATTTCTTTCTTGAGTGTTATATCACTGTGATAATTTTCTTGCATAACAGAGCCTTTACAGGTCAGGTATGTGAAGTGTCTTTGAAGGTGTAACCTCGAACAGAATGAATTTTCAAAGGGTGACTCAGACTGTCAATATTGCCTCTGTTCAGTGATACCATCTGTCTATATGCTGAATCTCAAAACAGGGGGGTTATCTTTAAAATTAAGATTTGGATGTTGTTTTCTTCCCTAATCTAGAAAGTACTCTTAGCCTGCACTGAACAGGTGACAGTTGTGAGTCCTAGAATTCTGCAAAGTGAAAACTTGCACAAAAAACCTAATTTTTAAAATCCATGTATTTACAGCGCCTGCAAATCTACAAGCCCTTTCTCCAACTTTGCTCCTTCCTTTGCCTTGTTGCCTCTTGGTTGCTCTCCAATCTGTGTGGGGTTTGGGCCTTCTTTGTGGTTCTTGGTACTTTGTTTTGCTGAATTGGAAGTGTGGGATTTTTTTAATCTGGGTGTATTTATCAGTTTGCCTTCATACACTCTTAGATTAGCCTTGGAAATGCTGTGTATCTTGGAACTGTTTGTTCAGTTTTCTCATCTGTATGGATTGTGGGTAAACTCATTTTCAGACCCTTTGTTGTAAAACTTAATTGTAGGATCCTGGGTGTCATTTTTTTCAGTATGTAACACCAAATTAACAACTCTCTAGTTATTTTAAGGTAAGTTTTATGAAGTAGTATTGCATTAAAGATTGTGGGACTATGTGTGTTCAGTGAAACAAGAGTTACCTCCTCACCTGGAAAAAACTGCATTGAAGAATGTCTTACTGATTTCTTGCAGCCCAGGGTGCACAATAGTGTTTTCTTTGTTTAAAATGAGTAAAGGGTTGAAATATTCACAACTCAGACCTTAAAAATTAAGATCATGTTTGTTGTGTTTGGTAGTAGACAGTGCAGACCAGACACAAAGTGTAGGAGTACACATGTACTCTTAAAAACAAAAACACAAGCTCAAGTGCTTTATAAAACAAGAACACAAACTCTAGTTTCTGTAGTCTCTTTATAAAAATATATGTATTTCAGACTTAAAAGAAAAAGTATTTTGAACTGAGTTTAAAACAGTAATGTGGAATAATATTTTTTAAAAGAAATTACAAGTTGTAACCGTTCTTTAAGAACCAGATTTTTTTAAAATTTTTTTATTTAGGATCAGCAAAGAATAAAAAGAACAATAGTAATCTGTTAGTAATCTGGTGTGTGCATATCAGAGGCTACAGCAGTTACTGTTGAAAAGTAAGAGGAGTTTATTTTTCACCCAAGATGATCATTCATTTCACCCATTACAAGATCAGCTCATACCTCAAGTCTCTTTCTCTGTGCATGGTGATATATTTCTTAAAGGTAGTATTGAACCAAAAGAGCAAGGAAGAGATATAGAAGTTTATAGTTCTCATTACAACTGGTATTTTTTTGCTAGCCTTGTGTTCACACTGCTCAATACTGTCATATTATCTTCCTCATAATAATGGTTTTCCTTTTGTAAAATGGAAGTGCTGTCACTTCTTAAACACACTTAGCAGTCCAGAGGCCACTAGACTTCAAGGGTGGCTGCCAGAGGTGTTCCCCCCGCTCCCCAAACTTTGAGGTTAACTGTACTACAGCCTGGAGAAGATGATCCCCAGAATCATAAGTGTGCATGTTAGTTAATGTTAACATTTTCTACATAAAATTAAGAGGCTGAATGTGCTTGTTTTATGAAGACCATATTTAAATCCACATCCAACTTTCGTGTTCAAAAACCAAATGCTTTTTGATATCTGAAATGTTTAGATAAATTGTAAAAATCTGATTGGAAAAAAACCTTCCATCATTCTGCAAATAGATGAAATAATTCTTTATATAATATCTCTTCTAGCTGTTTTAATTTTGTCATATCTGGACTATATTTACTATCACAAGTAATAACTTTACTTATGCTATCGAACTATAGATTTTGTAGATCTTAACTGAAAGAATAGCTTATAACCTGAGTGGATGTGTTGTCATCTGTGCCATGTTACATTTTTGCTATAGTGGTGTTGAGATTCCTCTGTTTTTTCTCATCTGGACACTTTGCAAAACTTTTTTTAAATCACTTTTTGGTACTTTCCTCCTCTTTGATTTCAGTCCTAGAAGAACAAACTTAGGGCAAGGATAGAGATGGCAACAGTGTTATTGTTTGAAGAGTAGCTATATTTACATAAATCTTGCTCAAACATCTAAAACATATCAAAAACCATGGTTTCTGTCATGCTGTATAGAAGTTGGATTGAATTCTCTAACAAGAACAGAAATTTTTGCAAGGAAACAAAGCAGCAAGAATATCCTCTTTGCTACAGGAAGGAGAAGTTTCTAAATCTGATGATAACAGGCTAAATAGAAAACTTCAGGTGTGTTTGAGTATGTATAAATGAATATTTGTTTTGCTTTTTTAAAAAGGCCTAAAGTACTGTCTGTTTGCTGAAATTGTTATATACTTCTCCTTTGCAGTTCTAAACCCATAACCTCTGTGTTAGACAACCCAGAGGAAAGGCCTAGGAAGGCAGCAGTGTCATCAGTAAAGGTATGACTGATATTGAATATGCCAGAAGTTATCTTCTACATTCTGTGTGGTTATTTGCTTCAGTGGTAAAGATATTTAAAGATTTTAGGAAGAAAGATAATAAGTTTGAAAAAATGAGGTTTTTTGTTTTGGAGGGAGATAATGAAAGCCACTAAAAGTTCAGCACTAAAGTGCTGCTACATCTGTAATTGGTGTTCTTGACCCTGTTTGCAGGCTCTTCAACTACTGAAAGGGATTGTCCTGCCGTGTTCCAGTATCACAGAACTAGAGATAAAATTATTTAACTTGCAATAACGTGGCATTTTCAAGTGTTTTTGAGTGGTAGCTTATCTCTGTTGTTGGTGACTCCAGAAAGAACAAGATGAAACTATCACTGTCATTTCTGACAGTTCCTGATTCATATTGTTTAGGGTTTTTGTCCTGTATTCAGTTCAAGAGGTATGCTTTCAGACTCTTTGCTGACAGGAGAGTGAGGCAGAGGAAATCACTGCACATATGTTTGTTTTGTGAAGGCTACACTGATACAACAATATGACTACAATTATGATGTTCGTTCCGTTTTTAGCAAAGGAGAAATCCATTTAATTCCATTGCATCAGATGATGACATGAACAGTGGGGAATCAGAAAACAGACCAGCCATTGTACCTCAGCTATCAGAGAAGGGTAAATACACTTATGTGAATTTTTTGTGGTTTATGTGGAAATTATTTTTACTTTTATTGCTTCTTTTGAAAGGTATCAAAACCTGTTTTGCCTTAAACTAGTTGATAACTTCAAGTAGTTATTTCAAATCTCATCTAAAACATGTGAATATACTCAGGAAATGGCTGTTTACATGAATAAATGTGTTTTGCTTCCTTTCTTTTATTCACAGTCCCAGTCAGTACTAAGAACTGCATCTCAGAGGGCTGTTCCTTCAGAATTGCTGTTAAGAGGACAGCAATATTTCTTTGATTTGGTATAGCTGCCTTTATGACCTTCCAGTCATTGCTATTAGCTCAACAGAAGCAGCCTAGCTCTCTTTGATCTTTGTTTTTAATTAATTTTCTTAGTGCAGTTTATTTTCAAATCCTCCCTTTCCAGCAGTATTGTCTGCAAGCAAGTTGATGAGTGATGATTTATCACAATACAGTCATTTGAAGTTCTAATTTAGAGTTATATGTGGAAATTACCCTCCCGTCTTTGTTGTGAAGCTTGCAAACAGGAAAAAGGAAGACTTGCACAGCAGTAATAAAAAGCCCTTCATCTCCCTGCCAGGAGATTATTTCTGCACTTTACCTTGTTCCATATGACTGTAGAAATAGTCTGTTTCCATCTTTGTAGATTGTTGTTTACGTTCTGACCTTGAAGAGGTGTACGCGTATTCAAAAGCTGCTCTTTCCTGCAAATTTTGTGCCTTGCAGGAATACTGCTGATGATAAATTTGGGGTGCTCTCTGTCTTTGGTATCATCAAATACTTAACATTTCTAGAATAAGAAATAACTGCAGGATTTTAATTTGTTAAAAGGTGCTATTACATACAAATCAAAATGAAAAATGGATTTACCATGGATGTATATTAAAATTCTGCCTATGTTTTTACTGCACTTGCTTTTAATAAACCATTATAATTACTGCATCCTAGATCTGCACTGTCATATCTTTCTGTTTATGTTGTGTAAACTTACGATTTCTTCTTTATATATGTCTTACAGAAATTTTCTCGCTCTCAGAAGAGAGCCCACCTAAATCAAACTTACAAAATGATGAAACAGAGAAACATAAGAAACCTTCTGTAGAACTTACTGGTGAATCACAGAAGGGATTAATTAAGCGTCCTGTCCCAAAAGCTAGAAAATTAATTCACAAAGCAGCAGATTCTGTATCACAAAGAGAAGACTTTGTTCCGAAACCAACCAAACAGACTGAGAGGATTAATGGCACTGGTACACCTCCCAGGGGCATTCTAAAGCGCAGTTCAAGTTCAAGTTCCACTGACTCAGAAGTTCGTGTTAGTCAGATGTTAGATGTTCAGAAGAAGAATGGTCTTTCTACTGCAACTATTTTTGAAGGAGATTCTGAGAAGAACTCTCTTGTGGACGAAGCAGAAGATGGCACACAAATTTCAATGGAAAAACTAAAACAAGTGAGGTTTTCATCGAGCACAAATAAAGGAAGACTTCTGCAAAGCCCACAGCCCCACCATGGTAAAGAAGGAGGAGAGCTTGATTTGTTAGAATCTGACCAAAAAAAGATTAGTGGAAATCATGCTATTGGATCAGATTCATTTGGGGATAAGCAAATTTCTGCTGTGAAGCCTTCAGGGACCTATTCATCAGCTTTACAAATGAAAACAATAGGTAGTTTACAAGAAGATACATCTGCATCCGACACTTGTGACACTAATAGGTCAGTCTTCCTGGTTAATAAAAGCTTGCAGACAAAACCAGTTTCTCCTAAGAAACTTGAAACTCCACAGAAGACTTCCAGCAATATGCTGCCAAATAGCAATAATGAACTGAGTGTTGATGAGTCACATGAAAATAAATCCAACCAGATCTTGAGCCATGAATTGAAGTCACATGAAAACTTTACTGGTAAGAGACTAATAGTAATGAAGAACGGAATGCAATAGCATATAGCATGTGTTCATTACCCTTTGGGTCACTTATACCTAAGAATGAAGAGCTAGGAAACAGAAGTAGCAGGAATGTGCTATGTACTGCAGAATTAAATCCTAAATCACTTTTTTGTATTTTTATGCTGCCACATAGTCAGTATTGTTTTAGAGGTTCTTCTATTGGTAATGTCATCAGAGCCTTTATAGGCACCTTTATTGTGAATGATAAAGTGATGAAGTTTGGATGAAATTCCTTTTATAAGGCTTGCACAGGAACTGAAAATTTTAGTGTATTGCTGTCAGTTGTCCTTGGGAGTAATCCAGTTGTGACTTGGGGATTTGCTCAAAGGACTAAACACAAATATGCTGAGTTGTGTGTGTGATGCCCAGCACCCGTTCAATGTAGACATTTCCTCTAGAATGGGATTAAGTAATTTTATCTGCTCACACCCTCAAAAACAATGATTCCAGTAGGATATATCGCTGCAGGAATTTTTTTTCCCCTCTATTGCCCATAGTATGTTTTTTTCAAAAACACAAGGACAGAGAAATCTTGTCTTCACTAACAGTTAAAAAAAAAAGTTCTGAGAATTTTCTAAATAGATCAAATGTTTTTAAAGTCACGTGTCTGGTTCTTAACTCTGATAAGTTTGTTTATATTGTAGATGAACATCAACTCTCTGCTAAGACAGAAGCACATGAGGTGTCAAATAGCAATTCTACAAGTCTTCAACAAGGTAAGCCTGATCTTGTTGAGGAGAGAGATGCTAAAACTACTTTCAAGCCTGACAAACATGCTGATGAACTCATGAAGGTGGATGATGAATCTGTATCAAAAGTTTTAGATTGGTTTAAAAGAAGTTCTGATACTGAAGATGGGGAACATGCATCAACTAGATCCCAAGGCAGGGAGCCCAAACAGGAAATGGACGTTTCAACCAGAACAGCAGTTCTTCCTACAGAGCGCAGTGGGCCTAGAATGCATGGAAGAACAGGAATTACAGAAGAGTTACCATTTGGAAAGATTAAACAACAGAGCAGTGTTTCATCATCATTTACTTCAGAAGATGCTCAGCTGATAAAGGAGAGGGAGAAGCCTGAAAAAGGGGAAGAGAATAAAGAGCAAAATGACAAACTGCTAACTGAATTTGATTGTAAAGGAGTCAAAGAAAAAGAACGTGATCAAGAAATCAAACAACAAAATCAAAAATCAAATCTCTTGAGAGGTCAAGAACACAAGCTACAACCTCAGAAATATGAATCAGAGAAGGCAATACAAGAAAAAAGAAGAATAAGGGAGATCAGAGCATTCTGGGAAAGGGACAAAATTATAACCAATCATGGAGAGAAGAAAGTCAGTACCAATACTACTGCATCAGGTGGCCGTACGTTGAAAGGTCTTGGAGAAAGTGACAAAATAGAACCGACTGCAGTATACCCACCTAATGGGTTGCACAGTCAGAGCAAGAATACTTTAAGTCCTCAATTGAGTTCTGTGAGACAGGATTCCAGAAATGAACATCAACATTCTTTTGAGTTTGGACCAGGCCATGCAGTTAAAAAGCCAGAAGGAACACTTGCGTCTGATGAAGTTCATGAATGTACAGAACTGCCAAAAGCCAGTAATTTGCAGTCCAGATTTGGTGTCACTTCAGCCTCTGCAAAAAGCAAAGACAAAGATGAGAAAGAAACACTTAAAGGAAAAACTTGTTCACAACAGAAGCCCAGCTTTCAAGTTTTTTCTTTAAAAGGAAAAATGGATGAAAAGTCCAAGAATCTAATTTCAGATCCTTCACGGTTTCAGAGTTTGAGAAACTTCTGGGATACTGGAGTTAAATTCCAGAGCAGAATTGACAGGGAAGATGTTTCTTTGCCAAATAATAATAGTTCAATAATCTATGAAAGTAAATCAAAGGAAGATAAAAAAGGTAGAGGTAATGTGAGCAAGCAAGAGTTAATTCAACAACAAACCCAAACATTTGAGAGAGAAAAACCACAGAAACAAGATTCTCTGGTATGCAAAAGGTCTCTAGGATCTCCTACCATGGAACGTCTGAATGTGGCCCGCACACAAAATACAGACTCTGTCCAGCTGAACAGAAAACCAGTTATCTCAAAATCCCAGGAAAAGACGAGTCTTCCGGAGCAAGAAGTTAAAGAATGTATAGGGGAAAGTAGTGTTTCACCAAAATATCATGTTTCCTTGCAGTTGTTCCAATCACCCAGTGATAAAAATGCTTTGAAGGAGACAACAGTAAGTGATAGGCAATGTTTACCTACAGAAAAAGTGGAGAACAAGACTAGTCCATTGGATATCAGTCTCCCTAAGGAGGAAGTTGCAGAGACTGTGGAGAAAGTTGTTCTACCTAAAGGTGAGCTTAACGTATTTAAATCAGTTCTAAAGAAGTTAGAAAAGGAAGCCTCTGAGATGTCATATAGCTTAAATGTAAAAGAAAATCTTTTGAAAGGGACAACTTTTCACTCAAATCAGTGCAAGGTCATTGAGAGAACAGTAGAAGAGAGCCATGATATTTCTCCTGCTGATCAAAAAGAAGAAATGGGTAAAAATACAAGAAAAGTGAATATGCCATCAACAGATGAGCATGAGAACAAAAAAAGCCTCAGAAAACTGTTTAGGGAATTTGAGCCTTTGCATCTACAGCATCAGGCAGCAGACAAGGATGATACTCTTGAGGGCTCTGGTTTGCAGAACCTGCTCAGAGAAACCTTTGTATCTCAGCCTTCTGAATATAGAAGGGTGGGAATGAAAGCATACAATGACATGAATAGTATATCAGAAACTAACAGCAGCATAGAATCAACATGCCAAAAAGCTGCTGGTCAGCCTGAAGAGGTCCATGAGACAATAGAGAAGTCTGTTGCCCCATCCAAGGACAGCAGCTTGAATCCTGCTTTAGAGAAGCTGCTGAAGGAGGTCTCTGAAACATCACTTCCTAAACCAAAACATGCTGACAGCACAGTGTGGAGGACTGCTGAGGTGGAAGTGAAAAGCACAATATATGAGTATGATAGAGATGTGCCGCAGGAAATCAGTGAGACGGTAGAAAAGTCTGTTGCCCCATCCAAGGACAGTGGCTTGAGTTCTGTCTTACAGAAGCTGCTGAGGGAGGCCTCTGAAACACCACCTCCTAAACCAAAACGTGCTGACAGCACTGTAAAGAGAGCTGCTGAGGTGGAAGTTAAAGGTAGGACTTACGAGAATGACGGAGAGGTGCTGCAGGAAATCAGTGAGAGGGTAGAAAAGTCTGTTGCCCCATCCAAGGACAGTGGCTTGAATCTTGCTTTAGAGAAGCTGCTGAAGGAGGCCTCTGAAACACCACCTCCTAAACCAAAACGTGCTGACAGCCTAGTATGGAGAGCCGCTGAGGTGGGAGCTAAGTGCACAACCTATGATCATGATGGAGAGGTGCTGCAGGAAATCAGTGAGACAGTAGAAAAGTCTGTTGCCCCATCCAAGGACAGCAGCTTGAATCCTGCTTTAGAGAAGCTGTTGAAGGAAGCCTCTGAAACACCACCTCCTAAACCAAAACGTGCTGACAGCCTAGTATGGAGAACCGCTGAGGTGGGAGCTAAGAGCACAACCTATGATCATGATGGAGAGGTGCTGCAGGAAAGGGGTGAGGCCACAGAAGGATCTGCACTGTCCAAGGTTGAATATAGAGTGTCTCATGTTGATTTTCAGAAGCTACCAAAAGAGTTCTCTGAACCACCAGCTTCTGTGCTAGAAAATATGGATAAGAAAATGCAAGGTAAAATACGGACTAGTCTAAGTATGAATGTTCCACATCATCAAGAGAGAGATTGTCCTCAAGAAATACAAGAAACAGTAGAAAAAAGTTCTGTTTCACATATTGAAAAATTTAGTGAATTCAGTTGTTCTTTAGCAAAACCTGTTCAGAAACCATCTACAGTTTCATATCCAATATCCAAAGAGTTACATAGGCAAGAAAAGTTTGGAGATCCTGCATTTCCCTCAGAAAAAGAGACTCTATTCACAACTGTATCAGAGCCATACAGTGTTTTAAGTAGCTATCATACACAAATAAATTTAGCTATCAAAGGGGGACCTCTAGAACAAAATGTCAAGGCTTCAGTAAATGACCTTGCAATAAGTGAAATTGAAGCTTCTGCTCTTGAAAGAAATGAAGTTATTAATAAAATAGAAGAGAGAAATGTGGTTCCAGTTGATCTTACTCCCTTAGAAGACAAAACAAATATGATTGCAATCAAGCCATTTCAGATAAACGAAAAAGGAAGGAGAGACGAAAGCACATCCTTGGAGGCCTCTGAACGGAATTCAGAATTTCAAGCACTGTTGAATTTCAGAAGAGCAAGCACACCACTTAAAGATGATGGCAACTCGCCCCAGCCGAAAGAAGTTCTGCTCTGCCTAATGTCTCAGCATGAGGATAATGACGAAGAGGAAGGGGACAGTTTAAATTTGGGATCCAAGTCTTCGGATGAAAACTGTGATTCCCACTCTGGAACTGAAAGTTCAACTCGTGAGCTGTTTGATTTCTAAAATTCATGGTGCTGAGTTGTTAAACATGGATGCAATGTTTTTTTGATAGCCAACTTGAAATGCGTTAACAGAAAGTCTGTGTGATACTTATTTCTTAGTTGAATGCTGTGGGTATTTGTTTGGGAAGGATCGGAAGAACTAATTAAGTTCTGTAATTGGAAAGTGTTTGATAGACACATACTACACTTGGGTAAGCCTTTTTGGTAAGGGGAGTTTAGCAGTGTGAATCAATTCAGTATTCATGATTTACTCTTTTCTTCCTCCCCCATGATATCACCTTTAAATTTGTTAATTTGTAACACCCAATCTAGTAATTCCTTTAAGTATACTGGATTAAAAGAGAAAAGAAAAATCAGTGACTATCTGAGTACATTCTTTAGTTTGATCAGCTAATCTTCAAAGATAGATGGTCATCAGTGGAATGGCTGGATATAAGAGCAATACCAGTACTTGGTGTTATTTCATTTAGCATTGCTGCCTGTTGCACTGGAAAGTGAATATATAAATGAAAAGATGTGTTTACCAGGATTCACATTATTTGGTTGAATGGCAGCTCTAGTCAATCTATAGTGTATGATAGTCATCAAAAAGCTGAAGATAGAGGAGGTACTTTAACCGTTTTAGTCTCATACTGAAAGACTGGGAATCTTTTCTTCAGCCAGAGAATCTGAGAAATATATGATGTTCCCAGGGCCAGCCAACTTACACTTGAGCCTGTTTTGAAAGTGAGATTCCAAAGGAAGTCAGTGAAAACTGAAACAAATGAGAAAAAAATCAAACATAATTTGTTGTCACCCATAATTACAGACAGAACACTGCAAGGTGTGATTGGTTGGTGAAGAGGGAGGAAAGTAAGATAGGGAGGAGAGTCTTAAATGTTTCTGAAGGACCTAGGTCTGTCATGATTCTACCTTGGAGACAATTGCATAATTTCAGAGATCCAAGTACATCCACAGCTGAGGTTTTTGTGTGTGTACGTGTGTTGTTAGTCAAGTATTGAAACAAAATTACTTTCACTATGGAGAGAATATAACACAAAAATTTGCAGGGAGGGGAGAAAACTAAAACTATTAACTTTTTTTTGGGTGCCTATTCCTAACAAGATGGTTACAAAATGGCTACAATCTGAGTTTATATTATATAATTCTTAAATAATTAAGTGCTATAATTGCCCCAAACCCCATTAATAGTCAGTAAAGACAGATACCTACACAGGGCAAATCAAGCAACTCGTCTCTGCTGATGACTGAGGATATTTAGAGAGTAAAAATGGACACTTCAAATCAGATATTTGTTTCATTTTGAATTTATTTTGTATTTTCATTGAATGTTCATAGTCTTTGCTAAGAGTCTAAGTAGATTCTCATGAGAAACCGATGGCTGGATCTTCATTGACTTGCTTCAAGTGGCATGTTTGTGTGTGCAGTGTTCATATGTTTTGTCTCATAACAGGTTCTGAAGAAGAATTAAACCCTGTTTTGATGGCTTTGAAAAGGAGTGCAGATAGGAAAAAGTCTTCCAAAAGTCTAGAGGACATTCCATCAGCCACCTCAAGTGAGCACAAAGCTTGTGTGTGTCTCCCATGACCCCAGTTTAGCTTAAATGTGTTAATGCTGGTTTTCTACACAGCCTTGCCAAGTCATGGCTTTGTTTTTGTTTCTCAACAATCTGTATGGAGCTTGTAATGTGAAACCATATTATTGTCTCATACAATTTCATTTCCAGTTATTTATGTTAATTTTGAAACAACACCGGTCTGTGAAGCAGACATCTTCCAGAAATGCACTATGTCGATAGTGATTAACTGTTTCTTGGTTAGTTTTTCAGTAGTGAATATATTGGCAATTACCCAAATTGGTAATGAGCAGCAACTGCCATTGCCTCCTGGCTTCTTGCTTGGGCTGAATTAGTAGACAATGAAAGCATGAAAAACTCAATTTAGTAATGTTTCACCTGTGTGTCCTGCCAAACTCTTTGGGACTTTGAAATAATAAGTGTGAGAGAATATTATACTTAAAATGAATTGCTGACTTCCCTCAGTAGCCTGCTAGGATTTCTTTTTTTCAATTATTATTCCTGCTTTCCTTCACCCTGCCCCTGAGAGTTTTCATGCTTATCTCTTGTCTAATGGGGAAGACACAGACTGAACTTACATTAGTAAACTGGAGTGTGGAGATGTGGTTTTTGAAGGATGTTGGCTATTGTTGGCAAGTTTTTATTCTAATACTACTTATGCTATTGCTTGCTTCTAACTAGTTTCTAGGTTTTAGGTCTGCACTAACATTGTTGCAACAGCACGCTGATAGAAACTGTCAACACAAGAGCCCTGCTTTGGATGTAGTGTGTGAAGTAAAAGCATCTCTTGAATTTAACCATTCCCATGGCTTTGCTGGTTTGTTTGTGGATTTTGTCCTCATAACTCTTAATTCTGTGATTACCACTGCCATCCATTTCACACTCAACAATGAAGTTTCTAACTATGTGTTATTTTTTCCTGCACAGATAAAGGAAAAATAAATAATCCAAAGGAAGAATTAGCTCTTAGTGCTGAAGATGGTAAATATATTTTGTGTCTGCATGGAAATTTATTGATTTTTCTGTGTCCTCTGTTTGCTAGTAATTTTTTTTTTTTTTAACTAAGAACTGTATTGTGTTTTAGATTTTATTAACCTCAACATGGCTGAAAATCTTCTGTAGAATTCTTCCTTAAGGAATGTATTTATGTCCTCCTATATATGTAGAAACTGGGCCACTTATCAATGTATTATTTTGGCCTTCACCCATTCAGCCTACGGAACAATTACTGAAATCATAGGGAGATTTGAACACTAACTCAGTTAACATTGAATTTGGCTGTTTATCTGTTGCATAATAAGATGCAAGATGACTTTTGTTTGTGCAAAACACTCTTCAGAATACATCAATCGAAAAGGAACCTCTACTAAATTCAGTCCTGTAAAGTAGAATTATTCTAAGAAATAGATGAACTGCTAGATGAGCTAGCGCTGATACCATCAGTCCCTTAGCACGTTACAGATGCCTTACTGTTGAGTTTTTCTATATACTTTCTGTCTAGACTTAAGCACCATACTGCACTCTGCTTACAATGAAGACCCCTACTGAAATCCTGTTTTGCATTCAGTGTGAATGTGTAGACTTACCTGAAAAAAGTAGGGTTTTTTGAGTTAAATTTATTAAGAGTGAAGTTATGAAAAAAACCCACACACAGAGTTAAATTGATAACTGTGCAGAGAGAATCTTTTGAAGAGGCTGTTCATTTAGAACTGTGAAAAGATTGATTTTGTTTAGGTTGCACACTCATATATTACCTTTATGATCCAGCTCCTCCAAGGAGAACAGAGATGCAAAACATCTGTGTTAGATAGAACTGTTTAGGTTTGAAAAAACACATTACATGAAAGATCATAAAGTCCAACTGCTAATATAGCACTGCCAAGTTCACCCTTAAGTCCCTAGTTCTGCATTTACTCTTACAACTTGCTCTATGATGCATCAAAATGAAACACCTAATACTCCTAAAGACCTATCACTACTAAACTACTGGAAGGAATAAAAACCCCACAAAGTTTATGGGATCCAGGGAAGTAAAACAATTCCTACATATGAAGTATATTGATGCTGTTTATAACATTGCAAAACTGTGCTACTGAATGACTGTCGTCAATACTGCACTGAGCAGGTCCGAAACCTGATCAGCATCCAGAGAGGACTGAAAATGCAACAGGAAGTGAGTAATAGGATTCTTCCATCAGACAGTGGAAGGACTTCTCCACTGATGCTTAAACTAATAAATTAAAAATACTTTTTGATTTAACAACTAACGAATTACACATCTGGACATGCATCTAACTGCATACTGATGGTAACTGGTATGCTGAGCACGAGCTGAGCTTCGACAGCAAAAGCTTTGCAAAAGCTTCACTCACATGGGATTGTGAACAATCCCATCATGTGCAGTGTTTCACTTTATGCACTAGATATGTGCATTTCACAATGGGCATCCAGTCCAGCTTTAGTGTATCATTACATGTAAGTGGGGTTATAGCATGGAAAATTCTGAGAATCGTGGGCTTACTGCAAACTGGATTTTTGCAAGGCTAGCTTGTGCATTTATGCTTTGTACAGTGAAAGAGCACAGAAATAAACTTCAATAGAGATATACAAATGTGGTAGAGATGGGCTGCAAAAAAGTGCATCATTCGTGATATATGCATCTTATAATTAAATTAAATAAGTAGGAATACTTGAGACTTCCTTGGTTAGACCTAAAATTTGCTTGATTTATACAAATGTTCCTATTGCTGTTAGATTGACTAAGTAAATAAAAGAACATGGTTTGTCTTGTATTCTAATTTCTTACTAAGAACCTTATCTTGATTCTAATATTGATAATGATATGGTTAGTGCATGAATGCACTTGTTCTAGGAAGAAAATCTAGAAGATAAACTGAAAGTGCTTCATTACTTTTGATCAAAATTTGCTTGTAGCACCTAGGCTTGTATATCACGTAAAGCAACATTTCTGATACTACCAAAGTTCTTTAGCAAGCGTTATAGGAGATGTCAAAGTAGATTATTCTTCCTAATGATAGCTCTTCTGAGTCCTATGGGGAAAAAAAAACCCTTGCATCCAAGTTGTAAACTGGCTGTGCATGTGCATGTATTTCATCTGAAGTGGTTTGTTTCTACCCATGTCCTGTTATGGCATCTCACTGTTCTGAAGTACAAACATGGTTTTGAAGCCTTTTGAATTACTGCTTTTCAGTTTCCACAGTGCCTTCACAGCCTGATAAGCTAATTTCCAACCCTGAAAAACTTAAAGGACTTAGCAAGTCGGTACCATCATTCCTACAGGAAGAGGTAAGCTCCATCTCTGAAATAGAATAGTTTCAGGTACCTGTCTGTTTACTCCATGCAAGTGAAATTTCAGAATTCCCAACAACATGCCATGCGTGATTATTGTTGTTATCATCATCATGGTGTGGACCTTGGAACAAGCTTGAGGCCGTATTCAAATCTCTTAAAATGACACTGAATTTTGAAAGTGATAAGCAACTTGAAACAGTGGGTCTATGATGTCTACGATTCTGTATCACAGAATCACAGAACAGTCTGGTTTGGAGGGACCTTAAAGATTATCTAACACCAAGCTCCCTGTCATGGGCAAGGACACCTTCCCCTAGACCAGATTACTCAAAGCCCCATCCAGCCCGGCCTTGAACCCTCCCAGAGATGGGACATGCACAGCTTCTCTGGGCAACCTGTGCCAGTACCTCACCAGCCTCACAGTAAAGAATTTCTTCCTAATATCTAATCTAAAACTACCTTCTGTCAGTTAGTTTAAAGCCATTCAGTTTAAATCCATTACAGTCACTTAAAGTGTCTAGTCACTGTATATCCTTCCCCTATAAGAGGACTTAAGATTTTCCTGTCTTTCAAACAGTCCATTTAACAGGACTGATTATCCACACAGCTTAACTGTTATTTCACTTCCTGAATTTATTTTGTACTGTCCCAAATGGCACTCTCCAAATCAATTTTCTGTCAAGAAGCCTTGTGCTAGGTAGGATGGATATTAGTCAGTCCTTACCATTGACCTCTGAACTGGGGAACGATCCTGGCCTGCTTTTACTTACGAGTATAGACATAACCAGAGAAGCTACAATCAACATATTTTTTAAAGACTTATTCAAACTGCTTATATGCTATATATTTATTTATATAAATAATCATTTCCTTAATGTGTGTAGAAATTGTTGTTTACTAATCTTGCATCTCTTACCAGAAGATCTATGACATCATTTCAAAAGTGTTTAATGGAGAAGGGAATGTAAATTGTTTGTGGGTGGAATACAACAGGGAGATGGTGTTGTCCGTAACAGCTTGTGTAGGAAGATGCAAAGGCACACGTGGGAAGTAAATCAATCTTTCAGTGCAGAGATAGCATTGAGATGGAATGGGACTGTAAGCGTGTAACCTGATAATGACCAAGGAAACCAAAACGGCAATTCCCTGATGGAAAAGCAGGGTCCTGCTTGCCCTCTCGTAAGAAAGACTTTGCAAAACCCGTTGCTGTATCCAGTGCTGTTCTGTGCATGTTACCTTCCAGCCAGCTGCCCTCAGATACAGGCACTGAACTGATAGCATTTGCTGTGTAGCAGAAAGGGACTGGTAAGAGACCTGAGCACTATCACTTCCACAATTTTATGCATGAGAAAATGATGTAGAGAAGTTGAATATAATTGTCCCAATACACTTACCTTTGTACTTTTTCATTGCTATTTGAGATTTAAAACAAACAAAAAACCCTTAAACCTAGTTGCATTGCTGCTTAAAAAAAATTATCAGTGTATGTTGTTCATCAGAAAAATCCGCTTTCAACTTTAAATGCATGACCTAATTCAAGAACATTATTCATGTTGTGCTACAAGGGAATTTAAATTTAGATTTCCACTGAGTCTCAATCTGCATTAAAATTCTGCTTGTTTGGTTTTGTTTTTTTTCAATGTTCTTTGTGACTATAAAGAAAGTACACAGACTTTCTTTCTGTGATGTTTTTGTAGAGTGATGACAGAGAGACAGATACAGCATCAGAAAGCAGTTATTCCTTTGGCAGAATCAAGAAGAGTCCCAGCTCTCTAACCAATCTTAGCAGCTCTTCTGGCATGGCCTCCTTATCCTCTGTATGTAAACCAAACCCTTGTTTAAATGGCACTTTGCTTTTACTAATCTCTTAAATATTATTTAATCTTTCTTCTCATTCCTATTGTCTTTCTTTCCTTGGCATCTCTGTCTCTTTCTTTCTGTCTCTGTTATATGAATATAAAGTAGTTCCTTGCATGAAATTTCCTGAAGCAAATAAAATAAAATAAAATAGATTTAGTTTTTTTTTCTAGTAACTTATTGGAGCCTGTTCAGGACTCTGAACAAAGAGATGGATTTTAGCCTAAGTGCTTACTTACATTTGTAGCTGAAAATGTGGAACATTTTGTAGAACAAAATTTTGTAGAATTTATGTAGAACAAACATTTAGGAAAAGAGAAAGGGGGAAGAAATAAGTGAAAGCAGAAGACATTATTGGAATGTTGGGTGTGTAACTGAATCAGTGAATTAGCTAACCAAAAGTCTTGGCTTATGTGGACTTTCAGTAAGAAAAAGTAGAATTTTTGGGAATGATGTTGACATTAAAAAAAAAAAATATACATCTTTCTCTTTCTCCATATGTAGTGTTTAATTTTCAGTGTTTTATTTAGCTACATATTTAGGTGCATAATTCAGCCATATAGACTTTATCCACTAGGTTTTTTGTTGGTATTTTCAGAAGTCCTAAATTCTTCAGCTCTGCTTTCTGCAAGAAAGATCAGCTGAAGAGATTTAGAAGCAGTATTTCACGGATCTGATAACAGGCAATCTCTAGATACACAGCATCCTACAATTTAATTTCTTCTATCTCAATTCAGTAACCATATTCAGTTTTTTTGTAGAAAACTTGGCCTAACACCTTTGATTTCAAAATATCTCTCTTTTGTTAATCTTCTGGCTGAGGAGCTTGTAAAATAGTGTCCATTACATCTTGTTGTTACACCCAAAGAGACACAGTTGATTTCTTTACTATCTGAATTCTGAGCATAATTTCTACCCTAATCTTGAAGTATCTGGTGAAATGCAATGCCTGGAAAACTTTTCTCCTCTTTTATGATGCAGGTGAGCGGAAGTCTAATGAGCATCTACAGTGCAGACTTCGGCAATGTTGACGTGAAGGGTAACATTCAGTTTGCTATTGATTATGTAGAACAGCTGAATGAGCTCCATGTTTTTATTTGCCAGTGTAAAGACTTGGCAGTAGCAGATGTTAAGCGACAGCGCTCAGACCCGTAAGTACAAAGAATATATTTACTTTCTAATGGAAGTTTTTCTTTTAATGTGAAAATGAAAACTGATGGGGTTTTCCAATCTCTCTTACCTGTTAGAGTAAACAACCCAATACACAGATGAAGAAACTATATGTGCTTTATGGTTTTTTTTTCATTCTGATTGAATATAGAATTACCATTATAAAATGGTATATATATATTAATATGGGAAATTCAAAATTTTAAGCATATTAAATTATCTTTTAAAATTCTACTTTTCAGATGGTCGGATTAAAGCCTATAAATATGATATCTGGGCCTGCTATACTTATATATTCTGTATTTTTGTGTTGAGGAGACATTTCAAAAGATTTTCCCTTGGAGAAGGATATTATAAGGAAGTAGTGATTTTACAAATCACCACTGCTGTTTTATTTCTTAAATGTAACAAGCTGAACAACATAATGGCTACTTAAGTAGATGTCTTTCACTTTATAAGCAAATACTTATGTATTTGGAAGAGGAAGTTGGAGAGGATGAATTTTTTCTCTTCTAACAAGCTTGTCTAAATTTTAGGTATGTAAAGACCTACCTGCTTCCGGAGAAATACAAGCTGGGCAAACGGAAGACTTCTGTCAAAAAGAAAACATTTAATCCAGTCTATAATGAAATCCTGCGGGTATTTATCAAACTACTACTAGAAATTAAATACTGCATGTGTGATGTATGAGGAACCTCGACATTTAGGCACAGGTCTAGATGCACTCAAAAGACATATTAGCATGAGAGGGATTGCTCTGTAGAGATGACTGTCCTTCCATTGATGAGTTAACTCTACAGTGAACTCTGGATAGATCACTGAGAACACTGTCTGTTTTATACTTCTTGCAAACAAATACAAGCCAAGTATGGTCTTAAGATGCTTGAAATAAAGAGGAAAGAGCTGGGGTTTATAGTTTGTTTTCTGAAATGAAGAAATGACCAGTTATGGATGTGTAAACTCAGACACATTTTTTCGAACCTTATCACTTTCAGACACAACATTGATTAAAAATTCATCTTGTTTTAACTTTTTGTCCTCGTTTCTTCCTCTGGGCAGTATAAAATTGAGAAGGATCTCCTAAGGGACCAAAGTCTTAACATCTCTGTCTGGCACAATGATACCTTTGGGAGGAATAGCTTCCTTGGTGAAGTGGAGTTGGATTTAGGAACTTGGGACTGGAATGATCGATCCAATAAGCAGATCAACTGGTTTCCCCTCAAGCCAAGGGTAGGTTGGTTGTTTTGTTTTTTCTGCTGTGCAAATCCAAGTCACTATTTAACTTGGTCTTATGTGGTCTGTGGGGTTTGTATTGATTATAATCATAAATATGTATATACTAGTAAACGGCACACACAGTTCTGAGGTTTCTTTTAGTCTAGCTAACTACTAGAGCAGGAAAAACTTTCTCATAGTCTAAGGAGTAGGAATTTCAAGGTATTTCTCATTAATGTCATGTTGCTGCAACAGAAACCTGAAGGCACTTGTTCACTGAATATGAAGTAAACCTTCTGAGAATATGGAGCAAGTGCAGCAGCATTTTAATATCAGGTGTAATGATGATTCCATCTCTATATGCCTCGTTTGGTAATGGGTTTCAGCCAAAATCTAAACTTTTGGCTAAGCCACTGCCAGAAGTTTTAGTTTCTATTGTTGTTTTTCTCTTTTCTCCCCCCCCCCCCCCCCGAATTTACTTCATTAATTCATTCCAAAATTAACTCAAGCTCAAGTTTTGTAATTTGCAGAACAAAGCAGGGATAACAGGGTAGTCTTTTGCACTAATTTATTTTGACTAATTTTTAAGCTGCTCTGAGTAGGTAAATGTAACCAAACATTAACAGGTGCCACGTCCCATCTATAGATGGTCCATGACTGTCTGTGAAGCAACATATTCTTGTGCCTTTCTGCAAGATAACTCTTGTTGAGGCTGATTTTTAAATGGATTAAATGAGACAAACATTCCTATAGAAATGAGTTTAGAGAAATGCACTTTCTGTTGCACAAAGAGTAAGTTTCCTGCTTGAAAGAATATATTTTCTAGTTTTAAATAAGCATACAACAGTGGGAAAACGTGCCCTCAAAGCCTGTTTGCCTCTTCTGAGTCTAGTTTTCTGCTTTAGTAGAAGAGCTATGTGTCTATGTAGTCACACTGTCAAGTGATTAAAAGTGCCCCAAATTCTCTCATGTCCTGTAAACTGAGGGAAGACTAATTGATAAGGAAACAAGAGAAAGAACTTGCCTCATGTAGAAGTCAAGCTTGTTTCCAGTGGAAAAATTTGCATGGTAAACTCTGCATGAACTGCAAAGTTTGAGACTTGTAGGTATACAGAGGGTTTATTTATTTTTGTTTTTATTTTTATTTTTTATTTCAGACTTCAACAATGACTCTTAATCTAGAAAACAGAGGGGAGATGAAACTAGCCCTCCAGTATATCCCACATCCCATTGGAGGTAAGCATTGCTGTTTTGCTTGGGTTTGTGAGGCCTTTGAGGTTTTGGGTTTTTTTTTTTCTAGTTAAAAAACCTGTTTAATGTTTTTCAATCACTTTAGACATATTTTTTTTTTTAACATGAAAGTAGATTTTCTTTCTTATTCCTAGAGGATTAAGTCACCCTGGTTGTGAATTCAGTTAAGGATCGCAAAGATCACTTTGGGATCTTTTGCTGTTTTTAATGTTACTATGGAATAAATTAGCTCATTATTAGAACCTAAGATTTGTAGTGCAATGTATGTGTAATAAAATTGTGTTTGCTCAATAATCTTAGAGATTACAAATCATCAGGAAGGGCTGTGATGTGCTAAATAAACAATGACAACACACTGAATCGAGGCAATACTAGATGTAGGAAATAGCAGTAAGTATTTAGAATGCAAAAATCGATAGCAGTATGATCTGTTTGATTTAATCTTGTCTGACAACTGACAATGGACAGATCTGAGAGTGAAGCCAGGCCAGGTCTTTAATCCAGACAGTCAGTCAATAAGAATCAAATATATTTAGAGCACAAAGGAACTTCTTTGAAAGCATGAGCAGCAATAAATGCTAATATCACGTAGCATGAAGACAAGCTGATCTCTAGGAGTCTTGGAAAGAGAAGACCAGTAGTTTTTGTTTGCTGTTGTAATAAAAGAAAAGTTATTGTAGGAACGCAGACATGATGTGATCTTGCACTACTTTGATGGGATGAAGACTTCAGCTTCCAGAGTACAGAGAGTAATGTTGAATTAAGATGTGAGATAAGTCTAGGCTGAATATCACCTCTACAAATGGGTAGGAACTGCTGCATCATAGAAATTACCTTTAAAAGTGATCTGCTTAAACAGAGGTTTTGTTTTATTTTTACAGGAAAGAAGACTCTATCTACTGGCGAGGTCCACATCTGGGTGAAGGAATGCCATAACCTTCCTCTTCTGAGAGGCAACAGGCTCAACTCTTTTATTAAGTGGTAAGAATTGTTGAAGTGATCAAACATGGTGGCCTAATAATGCTACAGTTGTGTTTTCTAATTGTATCTTAATTTTTCTACATTCATATTAAAAAATCCCCACAGAATTGTTTTCTGATTCTCCTTTATTGTCATGCAAATTCTCCTGCAGGGCTTGCAACTTCAAGGTGTTAAGTACATACCACCAAGTAAAAGTTACTCAGAGAACTTCCTGTGTAATCACTACACTTTGGTTTTGTCTGTTACTTGGTGGAGGGACAGGTCAAACTCTGCCTGCTTTTGTTCGCATTTAAACAAAGCGTGTTTGTGCAAGACTATGGTTTAGCTTAGCAAAGTGGGGGAGGAGACAGAAGTGAGAAGCATACCTGTATTTCTTCCCCCTTCCTTTTCATATACAGACTGAAAATGTAAAGAGACAAGAATAACAAGATGGTTGGGAAAATCCCTGGCAGCAACAAAAGGTTTTGGTGTCAGTATAATACAACAAATAAACTCACTTGTACCTCTTCCCCATCCTTGACTTGCCCTTCTATCCTCTGAAGCACAAGGGTGGATAAATGGTGTCAGTATTGTTTGTAAGGAACTGAGAATATGACCCTTGTCTTCATCTCCAAAAAGCATCTGATCTTTTTCAATCATGTTCTAACATGCCAAGCACAATGTTAATCAGTAGCTTTTGCCTTTTCAGTATGCTTATGCAGGCTATGGTGTATAAGTGCAAACTAACCGTGTTTTTTCTTTCTGAAGTACCATTCTTCCAGACACAAGCAGAAAAAGTCGCCAGAAAACACGGACAGTTGCAAAAACTGCAAACCCAGTATTCAACCACACCATGGTGTACGATGGCTTTAGACCAGAAGATTTGAAAGAAGCCTGTGTAGAACTCACAGTCTGGGACCATAACAAACTAGCAAACCACTTTCTGGGAGGTCTCCGGATAGGCCTTGGAACAGGTACTGGACAATTACCACAGTAATACTTAATTTATGAAATAGTCTTTCCTGTTTGTTTGTTTGTTTGTTTTTCCTTATTTCCTTTCAATTTCTTCCTGCTTTGAGAAGATCACGGAATAACCTTTCAGTTATCTATTTAATGAAGAGCTCCATTCAGTAACTTACCTATTCTTCAGCTCAGATCCTGAAATGTAAATAATAGTGTTAGGAGGGTTAGCACAACAGACAACTAAGGAGAAATATTAGAAATAAAACTTTATCTGGGCATACATTGTATCTGATACTGTTCCGTGCTATTCCTGCACCCAAAATTGTGATAACATCTTACAAACCTCTGCATGCAAAAACAAGGTGTGTGGTGTAAAGACAGCATGGCGTAGAAATAAAAGGATAGATGAGGAATGCATTATAAGATTTGAAGATATTGAATAGGAAAAATTATAAATGCAAATAAGTTTTTAGCATAAGGGCAATATAAGACATGCAGGTATAATAACAGGAAAAACAGTTCTTCCATTTGTCCCTTTCATTCTGCTCTCTGGTCTGAAGGGAAGATCATTTGGGAGTCTTCTCGAGAAATACAATGTAAAAATTACTTTTCATAATTTAACTTCTTACATGGTTCACCAGAATAACCTAAATTACAAATTTGAATAGTAAACCTCAATTCGAATTTTAGAATATCCAAGGTTGCATTTCAGTACAAAAATCAGTATCCTGTTTTATTATTTGATCTTCCCAGATGTATGGGAAATTAACATCTTTCTCCTTGGGATTGTGACAAAAAGACTAAGGATAACAAGGAAAAAGTCTGGAGAGAGACAACAAAGTCTCTGTGTGAAACTGTCATTAATTGTATTTGACAGAATTGTTCAAGAGCAAAAACATAGAACTGGATCTCCAAAGCACTAGGTCAGCTACCTGAGCAGGTGTAATCATTTTAGAGCAGGCAAATTTGATTGTCTGCTCTCAACTCTGCAGCATATTAAGTAATGTTTCTCTTAAAACTGACATTTTTCTAGGCAAAAGCTATGGAACTACAGTAGATTGGATGGATTCTACTTCAGATGAAACTGCCCTTTGGGAGAAGATGATGAACTCCCCAAACACCTGGATAGAAGATACACTACCTCTCAGGATGCTTATAGTTGCAAAATTGACAAAATAAGGTGGCTTTTTAATTGCTAGTGTCAAAAGAAACCTTGGGAATGAAATTGAAGGTGTGGGGGGTGAAACTTGGAAGAGGAACACAGTAGCAGTTTTGACAGTTTTTGCTTTGTTGCCGTTCTGGTTTTGTGCTGTCATGTCACTTCATATTTCAAATTAAACATTTGCCTACAGAACATTATGTAAATTTGTAGTTGTACATTTCAAGGATATCTAAGTTGCTTCTCCGATGAAAGAAGCATGACATGAAGTGGTACTGTTGATGTCCTACTCTACAATGTGCAGAGGACTAAGTTCCAATGTACTGTAAAAAAAATCAGGGTTATAAAAAGTTCGCTTTATATATATGTGTTAATCATCTTGCTGGTCTGCAATAGTTACTCTGAAATACTGAAGACATAAAGGTGATTTTTTTTTTTATTCCAGTGCTACTCGTAAGGATCTAAATGTTCCAATTTTAGTGATGACAAGTATGTTGGTATTTATTCTTTAAAGTTTGTACCTGTATCTATCAGCTTGATTTTTAGCAAGAAGTAACTTACCTGTGCTTCAGCGCCACCATTAGGGGACTGCTGGGACTATGGTGGTCTTGGTTCCAAATAGTTTTGCAGCATAGGAAATAAGACTGGAATTTGTAACTTGTAGAAATGCATGCTACTAATAAATAATAAATGCATAAAGTACTAAATGTTTTAATTTTTAAAATAAAAAGCAGCCTGTTCAGACTAAATAGGAATTCAGTATTTATTAAACCCCCGTGGTTTATATTAACCATTCAGCAGGCAATATAACAAAATGCACACAGAAAACATTTTTGAAAATAAATGCACATTTATTTGTTCCAACTGTGCATGTCTAAAAGCTAGTGACATCTTGCAACTTCAGTTAGAGGGGAGAAGGGAGCTCTTCACAGTTCCAACTCAATTGCTTGATTTAATTTTAGAAATCTAAATGCTACTTGCAATTTATTATACACTATGAATGGGAAAAAGGGAAGGTGCTATTTCACCTGCTGGGGAACCCACTTTCATGAACCAGGCAGCCTGTGGGGTTCACAAATGCCAAAAGTAGTTGTAAGTCTTTGATATCTTATTGCTTCAGGTGTTTTCTATGAGATTGGTAGCTGCCACAGCTTCCACTCTGCCAGACAAATACACTTCTTATGTGACTAGGGAACATGTGCATATGACACTTCAGAACAATGAATTTGTCCTGAAATGGTAACAGCAGCTGGTTTGATTCTAGATCCTTAAAGAGACACTTCTGAAAGGGTGGTGATTCTAGAAAAGAGGCACCTAAGTTATTTGTATTCACTGCCTGTATGAATTAATTTTACACTTGAAACCATATGTTGCTTTGAACATGACCTACAGTTTCACAGGATTAAAAGCCGAGACTGAGGAGTTCTCCAAGCTTGTGGAAGTTCTCTTTCCTTTTCCAAATCTGTGCGTTTTTGAGAGTGTCAGCAATGTTTGTTTGCCAAGAAACACTGCCAGCTCTTTCAGCCACCCTGGTGGGGCTGGCCCAGCTCCAACGAGCCCATATGAGGTCACGAGCTCCAGGGTGACTGGATTCAGCGTCTCACCTCCATGGAGACAGAACCTCTCAGCAGGAGAGATAATAAACAGACAGGAGAAAGAAAATACCTGGTAAGAAAATAGTTTTCTCTTCTTAAACCCTGCTCTTCATTGTATTTCCACTGGATGGCCTAAACCTCTCAGTCCTTCTCCCTCTTCTCCATTGTTCTGAAATATTTTGGCAGGATCCAAGGTAGCAATAGCGGTGGGAGAGTGGAGGCATGGTGGAGACAGAGCTGTTGTCTGTACTGATGGTCACTACTATACAGCTCTAAAACTCTACCTGCTTGTCAAGCGTTAATCCATTTTTGCTGTACATTATTTTTCATCCTTGCTTTAAGCTGGTGCCTTCTCATGTCCTATCTTTACCTCCAGTCAAAGCCCAGGAATTCACAAAACCTGATTATCAGCATGCTGTTTCATGTGCTCTGTAGTTTCAGGCCTGCATCTAAATGAAAAACTTGTAGATGAGTTTTAGGCTAATTTTTCAAATGTCTGGGTAGCATGCTGTGTGATTTGACACCAATAATCATTTGGGTGCCTATATAATACAAATATTTCCCTTATTTAGAAGAATCAGACTTTTAAAATTATATGTCTTAAATAATTCAGTAAATCAATGTCAAAACTCAAATGAGGAACTGCTTCTCCAGTCACAAAGTCTTTGTATCACAGAGCATTCAGTAATTAGCATTGTATAGATCTCTTATTTTATTCATAAATCTTTAAACATGGGATAAGACTATTCAGTTATTTTTAATGAGAAATATACTATTAAAATCTTATAAATTAATTAGAAGTCTCATGTAACCCTCCCTTTATTCGCAGTTATAATACAGAGTCTGTAGGAGAAAATAAAGGTCCTGTCCACCCACATCAGCTTCTCCAGACTTCCAGAGAAGCTCCACCAGCTTATCACACTGGTGTTGGCCACACAACCACTGGGTAATGTTTAATCATGCTGAGTGTCACTAAGAGAAGCAGCCACTATAATGTTTTTTCTTGTCTTTGTGTGAGACAGGGGCTCCATGGCTCAAGTTGAGAGAGGGGCAGGGGTGGCCAACTCCACAGGTGATCCAGAGACAGGCAAAGATATGGAAGATCTGACAAAAGGCCTGGAGGAACTCTGTGATATCTCTAAGGAGAGGAGGGAGAAGGCACTGCTGCTTTCACACCTAGAAGAGCAGCATCATCTTATCTCTATGCTGACAAAGAAAGCAGATGACACACACAAACGCTGCAGGGCCCTGGAGCAGCTCAACATGGAGCTGGAGAAACTAAGGACAGAGGATGCTCTGAAAATTAAAAACCAGACTCTGCGAATTCAGCATTTGGAGGGGCGCTTCATGGATCTGGCCAACAACCATGAGAAGATGATCCAGTTCAAGAATGAGCACAGGAAACGGCACATGCAGCTGTGGGAGGAGAACAAGCGCCTGCGGCAGAAGAAGGAAGCGCTCTTCAGCCAGGCTGTGAGGGAGAAGGAAGCTGAAGTGCTCCAGCTAGCTGCCCAAGCCAGGAAGCTCTCACAGCAGTTGTACTCCCTGCAGGAGAAACATGCTTACGAGAGTTGCAGAGCCCAGGAGAGAGAAAAGGAGCTGCTAGAAGCTCAGAGCCACCAAGCAGGTGCCTACACCCAGGAAGTGGATTCACTGAAAAAGCAGCTGCAACTCCTACAGGAGAGGCACCAACAAGCTGTTGCAAGGGCAGAGCAGGCAGAAAGTCAGCAGAGGGCTCAGAGCACTGAACTGCAGGCTGAGCTGGAGAGGGCACACAAGGAGAAAGAGCAGCTATTGAACCTGGCCATGGAGAGGGGCAAAGCTCTGCAAGATAAGGAACGGGAGATTCAGCACCTGGGGGAGAAGCTGGAGACTGCAGAAGAAGCCATGCAGAGAGCACAAAGGTGCTCTGAGAAAGAGGCAGCAGCAGTGGACAAAGATCTGAAGGTCCAAGAGCTCCAAGGACAGCTGGAAAGCAGCAAGCAGGCATACAACGAGCTCTGTCTGCAGTTCGATGCTTACAGAAAGCACAGTATGGATTTGCTAACTAAAGAAAGAGCACTGAATGTCAAACTCCGTCACTTTGTTGCATAACTGCATCGTTTTCCTCTCTTCTCCTCTTGGCAGGTGCCTCTACGGTAACACACCACTGCATTGGGGCTATTTTCTGGATTCTTTGTAACATCCTCATCAGTTTAAACCCCCCTACAAGGACTATTTTTTGTCATTGCACTTTTAGCTAGGTAAATCTCTACACTGTTAAATCTGAATGGGGATTCATTAGGGTGGAAAACATAAAATAGGAATTGATCCGTTTGGTCTTAATCTCTGCTTTTTTTTTTTTTCCCCCATTGTTTTGTTAGGGTTTTTTTTGTTTGTTTGTTTGTGTTTGTTTTTTTTTTTAATTAACAATTAATAGCACTTTATTTTTTGAGTTGGCCAAAAGCTCAAACCCTTAGCCTTTTGTCTTTGATTCTTCCTTGAAGTTCAGCAGAGGCTGGGCATGTAAGAGGCAACACTGAGGCTCCAAGAAAGAAATCCCACCTTGCAATGATGAACAGTCATAATTCAGGAACTTATCAGGTTAAATACAAGAACAGGTAGTACACAACAACTGGTGCCCAAACGAATTACCTTGTATAGTTTTCTAGTAGTTGTACAGGTTTCTGCACTTTTTTTTAACCTTATTTAATGCCATACCATTATTTATATGCCCATTCAGCTCAAAATAAATTGTCAAGTCTTTTGGGTGATTTCAATAATCTCTGAAACAGGTTGAGGTTCTAGATGTTCTGCCAGTTTCAATGCTGGCATCTAGCATGTAAATGCCAACTGACCCAGGCTACACACTAGACTCATGGTCTGAGGAAGTAACACAGCAAGACTAGAGCTGGCTGCTCTGTTTGAAACAGTTGATAGGCAGGGAAGAGTGCCTGTATCCCTCTGGTCACTGCAAGAGAGTTTGAGACCAGATGCCTAAATACTCTAAATCTGGGCAGGGGACACCCCCTCGCTGTGTGAAAGAACAGTCCCACAGGTCTCTATGCATGGTGGTGGGAAAGCCCCCAAAACCTGCATTCCCCGGGGACATGCTCCTTCCCTTCCCTTTGCGATGTCTATGATCGAGAGACCTTCCTCCCTACTCCCTCACCCATCACCCCCCCACACCTCATACACCCTAAACCCCATCTCCTACACACTTCTCATCCCCCCCAACTACACGCTCCTCCCCTCACACCCACCCCCTACTCTCACACACCTTGTTGTCTCCAAAAATTGGATTTATTGTATGCAACAAGCCAATAATTATTCGAGAGATGTTATTTATTTCAGACTTGCAGAACTCTGGGTGCTTGGTGGTGTTCCACAAATCAAGCACAACAACTGTCAAAACTTTTAAGTATTTATACATTTTAGCAAAGAAAGGCATTAGTGTTCATTGACTACAAGTTACATAGGTCTCTTATTAATTAGTATTCTATCTCCACTGGTTAATGATTCTCTGGTTTCTCAAGCCATTTAGTCCATATACTCCGTTCTTCTCCTCTTCTGTGTCAGTGTGCTGTGAGTCAGTGGTCGTGATCACCTCCTGCTGGAAGGTGATCTTCTGGTACTCCTTTTCCCCAAGTAGAGCTGATTTCAGCACAGTTGCTGAGTTGGGTTTATTAGTTTCTTTCTTATCTCGGGAGTTCTGCCAGATGTCCTTGTGCCCTGCAAATTCTGCGTTCTTTGTGTCCACTAGCAGTGGTACATCCTTCTCCCCAGGCTCTGGTAACCTCCGCCTAGGTCTGAGATCCTTGAAGCACGTCAAGCCCTAAACCCTAACGAGGCAATCTACCGACAAGTAATTTGTCTTTCCAACACCTGGACATCAGTCAGAGACGGCTTGCTAGCTGCCTATCCGTTTCACGGATTAAATCTCCCTTCCCGTTGATTAGGCTTGAATGTGTACAAAGACCAAACGTCTAAGGCCATCCTTCCTTAGGAAAATGTTTTCGTTTTCCCCAGTGTGAGATGCCCTCCGCCCCCACTCCCACACCGTTCCCCCCCCCCCCCCCCCCCCCCCCCCCCCCCCCCCCCCCCCCCCCCCCCCCCCCCGCCTTCGCCATTCCACCTTCCCGGCCGCCGTTTTCCCGCGCGCGGGCGCAGTCGCGCGGCGCCCCCTCCCGCCCCTCGCGTCGCTTCCCGGCAGGCCGCGCGCCGGGAGCGCCGGGCCGCAGCCTCGCGCCGCTTCCTGCCCTCGGGCATCGTCCCGTCCCGCCGGGCCCCCGCCATGCGCCACAGCCTCACGCAGCTGCTGGCGGCCTCGGCCGGCGGGACCGGCCCCTCGGGCGCCGCGTGGCCGCTGTCCGGCGCGGGGCAGGCCCCGAGAGGGCGGGATGTCGGCGGGGAGGGCGACCCGGGCCCCGCGCGGCCCAAGCCCCCGGGCGCCTCGGAGCCGCGGCGGCAGGAGAAAGAGGCCGAGGCGCCCAGCAGCCCGGTGGAGGTGTGGGAGCAAGAGGACTGGTTCCCGGGGCTGGAGCTGGGAGACCTGCTGGAGGCGGCCCGGCCGGACTGGGACCTGGAGGCGGAGCTGAGCGGCTGTTTCTGTGAGGAGCCGGAGCCGCTGCCCCCGCCGGGCCAGGGCCCCCGTCCGGCCGTGTCCGGGCGGCGGAGCGGCGGGGCCGGCAGCCGGCTGAAGGCGGCGGCGGCGGCGCGGCTGAACCGGCTGAAGAAGAAGCAGTACGTGCTGGGGCTGGAGAGCCGCCTGCAGGGCCTGGCTGCCGAGAACCGGCAGCTGCGGGACCGCAACCGCGGCCTGAGCCGCCGCCTGCGAGAGCTGGAGCGGGAGAGCAGCTACCTGCGGGCCGTGCTGGCGAACCAGAGCGCGCTGGGGCAGCTGCTGAGCCGCCTGGCCGGGACCCGCGCCGGCGGGCTGCAGCTCAGCACCAGCCTCTTCAGGGACACGGGCAGCCCCCGCCGCCAGCACCAGCACCTCCAGCCCGCCGGCGAGAGCAGCGACCACGACTATGCCCTGCCCAGCTCCCGGCCCCGCGGCCTGGAGGAGGCGGCCGTGGGGACTGAGGCGGAGGAGGAGTGGGCGGCCCCCGGCGGGATCTGCCTGCACGTGGACCGGGATCAGGTGTCGGTGGAGTTCTGCTCCATCTGCGCTCGGCGGGCAGCGGCCTCCTTCAAAATGTAGGGTCAAGTACCTGCTGCAAGTACTCGTGGGGTTCTCACCCCTAAGGGCCTCGCGTCGCGGCGGAGGAAACAGGCGATGGTGCGGAGGAAAAGAATCAATACAGTGGTGATGGGGTGGTATTGGGGGAGATGCAGAGAAGGGGGACCTGGCACTTAAGTGGCCGGGGTAACAGAAAAAAAAAAAAAATCCTCTCGAACGGCACGTTGGGAGCCAGACGGTGGCCTTGGTTCAAGGTGCTGTGAATCTGGCGTGTGGACGGTAGTGGTGTGAGCCTGTTTGGCGTTAGGAGTCGCGCAGAGCTGCGTGCAGCAGTGCGACAGTGGTCGTGCAGACTGACACGCGTGGTGCACACGCGGAGGTGCCGCCAGAGCCCGGTCGCAGCACTTGGGTGAAAAGATCATGCCGACCCGATGCATGAAGGTGTGCTCGGCTCCGCTTCGCAGTAAAGATAACGCTGACTACCCGGTCTTGAGTCAGATAATGTCTAGCCTGCTTTCCTGAGGAGCCGAAAATGCTTGCTTAGAAAAAACCAAACCAAAAACTCCATCGTCACTGGACAGACTTAAGAAAATAGTAATGATCGGCAAAAGAAAGCATGCATATAAAATTGTACTGCATCTCAGTTATACATTACTATTAAAACTTCTCTGACAGTTTCTCTTTTAGGTGCTTGCCCTGCCAGGCTCCGTTGTGTAGGGGTTAAAGAACAGTCGTTTTCCACCTCGCAACCTGGTAAGGATCAATATATTCCCATAATGCGGTATCAGACAGCTTGCTTTGCTTATCCCAGTCTCTTGTAAGGACTGGTTCAGGAAATAATTTCTCTGGTCCTTGGCCTACTCTGCCGAAATGTTTCTAGCTCTGGATGGTAATTAATAATGAAGGCTACAATCACATCACTCTCATTAGCTGTTTTCCCCTTTTCCTTTTTGAAACCGATACATTCGCTACATAGCCAACACACAGCTACATTTTGAATTAAAAGAATGTTCATGCCATTTGAAATAGAAATTTTCTATTAAACCGAGTATCTGATGAGCTGAAAAGGGAAAATATGCTAATAAAGAGGATGTGCTTTTATAGCTTTAATCACAGGGGACTATCCCTAAAGTGTAAGTAAATTGCTTTTTAATTAAATTAAAAAAAAAAATTGTGACCTGTTAGTTTAAAATACTGTCCAGTGTTAGGGATGCACGGTACCTTTTAAAAGTCCTTCTCTATCTTGCTCCAATTCATGATGCAGGGTTATGTCTGATTAAGCAGAACCTGAACACTGGTTAAATCTGTACAGTAGAATCCTCATGTAGAGGAGTCAATCTTTTGCATGGACCTCTAATGAGAATTGGGTTTGAAGAATGCAGTGCATCGAAGTAACTCGTTACTTTAGGTTCCCATAAGTAAATCTCGGTGCCCATGCACACTGAAATTCCTGTGTTACTTCAGAGTAGCTTTAAAGTCTAAAAAATATTGCGTGTATATGCATGTGCTTAATTTTACTGTAGAGTTCTTAATTTAGCCTCCTACAGTATCCAGAAATCTATAACCTGATACAATTAAGCACAGTTTGGACATGAGCAAATATGTATCTTGAGGCTAATGATTTGAAAAATGCTCCACGATTAACTGAGATAGGAGGAAGAATAGTTTGACGAACAAATAGTGTGTGTTTTCTTGTACTAGTCAGTGTTTCTCCCTGTCACAAAAGATGAGTGGGTTCTTTTTTCAGTTGTATTATAATGTTTAGGTTGTTTAAATGTATGTCAGTTGGGGGAAGAAGGATTATGGAAATGATAATATGTAAAGTGAGGTTTCACAAAGAATACTTTCCAAATCAGTTTCATTTATCAACTTGTTAAGAAAAAATCTATTTAGTGTTTCTGAAATACTGTTTCCTAAAGCCTTAAATTTTGTGTTTAAGGCTAAGTAGGTGAAAGTGTTCTCTCCCAGTCATTTGCTTCATTGGTGCTAGACCCTATCACGTGTTCATCAGTATAAAAGGAGTTTGATTTTCTTTGTGAAACATCACTCTGTGATAAAGTATATGTGTATTTAGCATCCTTGTTTTTCTTTATGCTAAAGTGGATTCAGCTGTGTTGGGGCAGAAGAGACGGGACCAGCTGCTGGCCACATTTCCTGCTTTATTTTAAAAGGTAGTATAAGAAATGAGAATAAAGAGGTAACAGGGCTTTTGCTGTCTTTGGTTAAAAAGAAAAAAGTTGAATGCTGGGATCATTTACTGTCATTCAAGATTTTTTTTTTAAAGATAATATCCTGTCAACCAGGTTTTGCTCTACTGTATGCAGAGTTCCATCTGTTCAGGGTATATTGCCAGCACAAAAGAGACTTAGCGGGATATGTGTTACCTTACACCTCTGTGGTGGATCAGCAGGGCTGTTCAAAGTTTCAGTCTTAAATTGGGTAACTGCTGTAACTGATGGGTCATACTCGTGCCACAGGAGTCAGAGTTAACCACCAGGACCTGCACTGACTGATATGCAAAATGGAAATAATGTAGATTCAGCCTAGGCTCAACCTGCCTAGCTCAGTCTTCACTGAACATGCTTTATTTTGCAGTTTATTGACAAAAAGAAAAACATAAATGTAGTATGGGATGTTACAGTGGCATTTTCACGGTTACTTCAGTGTAGAAGTGTTTTTTAAGTTAAATATGCATTCTTTCTTGTCGCATCACTGCTAAATGGCAGGGTCAGGGACTCAGTTCTTCTGGTCTCTGTGTGAACCTGCACGTCGCTCTGTCGTGACACGACCTGTGAGCTGTGTCTGAGAGCAGCTGATTTTCTGACATGCAAAATTATGTATTGTGGTACAAGAACAAGGTTAAGTCCCAAGAAAGTCAGTGGCTGCAGGCATTTCTAGTGCCTACTGAATCATATTTAAACCAAATAGTGGGGAGGAAGCTATTTGAAACTCTTGACTGTACTATCTGTATGGTGTATTATTAATGTAGCTTTTTGAAGTGAAAGCCTTGAAATGACACAATACTTGAAAATATATTGTAAATGTTTCCTTGTAATTATGTGCCATCCAGATAAGAATATAATATCATAATAAAATCAGACTTGTTGATCTTTCAGTTTATGGGCTCAAATGTTTTTGCATCTTTTTCTTCTCATTAATGTCTTGGTTCATTAAACAAAGTGGGAAAACAAAGGAAAATGCTGTTTCTGCTCTCTTTGTGGGTCATCCACTGAAAACAAGATAAAATGCATCAGGGTATGCAGCAGAAATGTTCTGGCTCATCTGTATTTAAAGATAATTTTGTGCTAAGGACAAAGATGTTATTCCTTGAACTGCAGATAGAGTTGTACTTCTGAGAATCAGCACTTCTTGTGTTCTATAGTTGTTATTCTTTCTTGATTTTTTTTAAATATGAGTATGTTTGATCAATATACCATGGAGGAGGAAAATACTTACATAAACCCTTCCGTGGTCTGTTGGCATCTTCCTGCTTTCTGTCCTTTTTTTAGGCTCTGAAGTTTGATGACTGGTTAATAATATGCTGTTGAATCACAATCTCATCAAATTGGTATTTCCACACTAAACACTGGAGTGAGTGTTTAAAACAAAAAGTTTGACAGTGCTGAAAGGACAGAACATTTTCAGAGCTCCAGAGTGAGCCATGCACTGTACTTTTTGATTTCTGTTCATCTTAAATGCTTTATTTGGAGGACAGTTTTAAAATAGTGCTTTCCACATGTAGGCATTCTAGTGAAAGTGGTCTGCAGCTTGATGAAAAGAAACATCTCACAAAAAATAGTGTAAAAATTCAAAAGCATACTGGCATGCTCTGCCTTTTTGGCCTGTAGTTGTAGAAAGTACCCTGTTCAGCATTGGAATATGTGTTTGTTAAACTTTCATACCACAGAACCAAGTGGTGCCAGTGTTCAGCTGCATAGCTGTGCTACCTATTTCTGCACCCCAGTCAATGAAAGAAGCATTTAAAGGGAAATAATTTAATGCTCAGTTCTCCTTTAGTCCTTTACAGTTTGGTTCTGGTGCTGTGACTCTTAGTACTGTTCTAAATTAACTTCTCTCTCTTTCCTCTGAAGAGCTTTGCAGCATCTGGGAGGAAAAAACAAATCGGTGCTTCTGCAATCTGTAGATGCCTGGAGAGATGGTACCAGAGGAAATGTAGGAAACTCAGTTCCAACACTTGGCATCTCTTCGTACTTCCAGATTATCAGATTTCTCATGCCATTTGTCAAAAGTGTAATCAGTTTTCCCTGTGAAACCGGTCTTTTGTACATTTACTGATTTTTAAAATCCCATGTTTCCTAGAGCTTTTTAAGAGGTTTTCTGCTGGAATCAGCAATATTCTGGTTATAGGGCCGTATTTACTGCTAGACTGCAAAAATGTCTGAAAGATATGTTAGGTATGGGAGCTGTTCAAATGGACTCTGTTTAAAGAACACCCTGCACCAAAATTCCATATTGCCAGCTGCCGATTCTACAGATTTTATGCCTAATTGAAGTGGGATATGTAGATGTGGGGAGATAATTTCTGTGGAGAAATGATTCTATGCTCATTAGCAAGAGCAGGACTAGGGTGTGTATCAGGAAGATGGGCGTATCATTTGCAGGGGGCTGTGGAATAGATTGTAAAGTTGATATCCAGCATCAGAAACAGATGCAATAATCGCTGATCCTGTCATAGCCATTCTTAAAGATACTACTGCAAAATAACACCTTTATTTTATGTTTTTATTATCGCAGGTAAGTGGTTCTGTTGGTTAAAGTCTGATGGCTTCTGGAGATATGACAATTCACTGTCATGTAAAATAATTGCTCCGTGAGAATCTCCGAAGTCAGGGTGGTTAAGGTAAGGCCAAGCTCTCTGTTTCAATGCAGACCAGTATGGGAACCCCACACGACACAGCAATACTTATAATCAAGGCAAACTGAACTATCTCTGTGTAACAGCAGGTAGTCTGTATTTGCTACTTCCCTGTACAAATCAGGCTGCTACTCCTGGTTTTAGAGAAATAGAGTGTGTGATTTTCCTGCTGTAATGACAGATTTTTAAGGAAAAGGTAGATAAACACGATGAAACTCCTTAATACATTTTTCATCAGTGTTACAGCATAAATTTTAACCCAATTCAATTAGTCTCAGTGCTGAATTTTTAATTCTAATTAATAAATATTTCCACACGCATCTCAGGGGATACTAGAATTTTACTGAAGTGTACGTGAATTGGCCAGTAACTGTACAGCTTTTTCAATTACAGAATTATTTAGGTTGGAAAAAATGGGAGTCCAACCTCTGACCAATCACCAACTTTTCATTTAGACCATGGCACTAAGTGCCACATCCAGTCATTTCCTGAACACCTCCAGAGATGGTACCTCCCACTTCCTCCCTGGGCCATCCATTCCAACGCTTAACAACCCCTTCTGTGAAGAAATTCCTCCTGGCACTTTATATTGCTCTAGAACATACAGTCACCAATGTGAAGACATGCCTGACTCATAAATGCATTACCTTAGACCACTGATCTTAGAACTAGAGGTAAGTGAGATATCACAGTAACAGCACCAGCCCTCGGAGGCCTCTTGACACACTTCCATCCTTCAGGAAAAGTAATTTCAAGGCAAAACAAGGACAAAGTGCGCTCTGACTAGACTGTTTTTTGGTTGCTTGATACATATGCTGGGAAGCCTGACACGAGTATCACTCGTGTTGCTCTGTGACAGCATTCTCTTCAGTGTACAGCGTGACCCTCATAACAGCCTAAAGGAGGTAATCTTGTGACAGAAATTTTGTGCTAATGGAAAGGAGAAAAGGGAGAAGAATACTCAGATTTTGAGGAGTATCTAGAAAACTCTTGCCTTGACCCTCCCTCCCTTTTTTAGAAAAAAAACCAAACAACTCTGTTGTTTGCATTATGAAAAAAAAGCCTCCTTTTTCAAAAATACTCATTTTAAGAGCTTCTAAAAGATGTAGCATCACCTTGGAGCCAAACACTAAGCAGGCAGTATAAATGCTTTTTTTCCCCCTATTTCCAAACAAACACACCTGTCTATAATGCTGTTATTCAGGTGTATACTCTAAGCTGGGCATAACAAAAAACTTGAGCTGCATTAAAGTTCAAAACTTGAAAAATGTCAGTACAGAGTCTTTGTTTTTCTATTAAAAAAAGACAGAAAGCAACAACTTCCTTTCCTTGTTTATTATGGTTACTTATCCAAGGCAATTGAAAAGTTACTGTAGCTCTTCAGGATCCCTGCTAAGGTGCATCTGCTGTAGTATTTTGACATATATTCCGTGTTGTTTAGTGGCAAGATATAATCCAGTCAGAGCCTGTACCAGTACACCCAGACTCATCTTTCTAAAGACAGGCCGAGCGACTGTGAGCCAGTAGCGTACTGCGTTTTCTTTCCCTGGCAAGGGAGATGACATGTACCTGAACAACACAAACAATGATAGAAACTTAATTCTTTTTCCCATGCCAATGTCAAGATTTAACATTATAAATATTTAGGTAGATAGTCATTCTCTCCTTCCTCTCCTAAGTTAAATTCACTTGGTGATACTGAGCTCTCTGGATAAATGTTGTAAAAGATCCTGACCCTGTACCGAGTCTTGCCAAGCCTTGCTGTGCTCTGAATTACAAAGAACGACACCTGCCAGGGAGTTTGGCTGCCAGGCACTTCCCAGAGTCACTGAGGTCTCTCAGCTCTCCAGCCATCTTCAGTGCTTGGCAAGATGGCAGCCACCACTGCCCACACCCAGGCACATCCTGGGTGGCTCGTAGGGTTCCAGTCAAATACAAGTGCTTCACAGTGGATCGGTTTGCAGATTTTGTTTCGTTTTAAAGCCTTGGTGTAGCTCTTACAAACTTCACCTTGTAATTAGATGACCTTAATATAAATCTCCTCCCCATGTGCTACATGCCTACAAGACAGGTGTGCACAGACTAAAATTCCACAGAATTTACTCTGAGAACTGAAGATTTAACCAATAAATACACTTGATTCATTGCAGGTTAATAAGACATACCTGGCTGCAAGGCTTCCGTTCAGGGGGAGAGCCAGGAAAACAGGATAGAGAGCACCCACAACAGCCCCTACTAATCCTCCTCTGACCACGGCACAGACCTCACAGTTCAGCTGACCTGCATGGCAAACAATATTTCAGTCAATATCCACACATGCTCCACCACATCGATTTATAAGCTGTGTGCAAGAATGTGGAAAGAGGCCCTTGACAGAAACTTGCCCTTGTACAGGCACGCAAGAAATTATGAAAGGAGGACACTTCCTTTTGCAAAAAAAAATCACTCCTATTCCAACCCACGAAGAATTTATCACTCCAAAGCTGACCTTCAAATAAAATTGTACAGATGGGGGAAAATGAACTGCTTTGTTGCAGTCGCTTTTACATGACTGAGTGAAAAATCTAAAAACAAGTTGTGTAGCAGAATTATTCTTATAAATCTTATATAAACACGTATCTCCTTTCCCACTCCACCTAAAGAACTCACTGCTGCCCAATGCATTGTTTTTCAAACCCTGCTTTACAAACAGAGGCTTTTCAAGATCACAACATTTCAAGAGCACTGCTCTACAGGGAAGAAAAACTCCTCTAGTGTTACGTTGTGGACTGAAAGCAAAGCCTTTTTGAAAACAAGGAATAAAAAGGTTTTTACCTGAAAATAAAGGGCCACGCACAAAAACTTCATAAACCGCTGTTGTTGAAAGAAATGGAATAACAGCCATTGGCACAGCGGACACCAAGGAAGCCCCTCTGATATTTAGGATGTTCCTGAAGAAATTATTTGCTGCTAAGCCACATAAGCTTGAATTTGCTGCCAGGAAGTATGATCCATGATTACAAAGGTTCCTGCGAAAGGAAGAAAGTCATTTTAGCAATTGAGAACTGTAAAACAGTTTACTCAGTGTTAACAATTCTTTTCTGAATATCCTACAACAAGGGGTAAGAGAGGTAAATCTCTCACAAGTGCAGAATATAGAGGAACTACTTTCAAAAGCAACCACTACAGCAACCTTTGTTACATGCCCAAGTTTACACACACTTTAAGAGTGGAAAGGCTGAGAGGACTTTTCTACAATTTTTTTTAGTTTATTACAGCTAATGGAAGCTTCATTAAATTTGCTCTTCTAATCAATGTGTTTCTAAGGAGGATGTTTTCTGAAAAGAAATTATGAAATATGTATATAGAATCACAGGTAGCTCCTGTAATCAGCCATGTTTTTAGCCTGCATACTGAAAAGTACAGGTTTAGTTTTAACATAAGAGCTTACAGAACAGATCAGGTGGGACAACTAAGACTTTGTAATAATGATCTCAGCAGCTGCTGGCGATCATTTGTAGTGAACCTGTATGCTGAAGGGCTGTAAGCTTTCCTTGTGTGCAAGAAACATGTGGATTTAAGGTCCTACCTTGGTAGTTAAAGGCTACAGAAGTCCAATGTACTGGTTTACAGAACTGGAGCTTCTATTTCTCCCTTGATAACAGAGGGACTGGATTCTGTTATCTACAGTATTTTTAACATATGGTTTAGAGCAACTACTCGTGTTGCAATCTGTAACAGGGTGAAGGCAGAATAGAACAAAGCGGTCAGAGAGAGTCAGCAGCATTTAATATCGTAACAAACAGTTCCCGTTTGAGTACATCACATCCCAGCAGGTAACACAAGAGAGGGAACAGGCAAGCCTGCCAATTTTACAGGCCTGATCAAATTTTATGTAACTTCATTTGACTGACAGAAGGAAGTTGTGCATTATCTTTAGCATTATACCTGGCACAATCTGGTTAGCGGAAACAACCCTTTGCCTTAGGTTTCCACAAATCTAAAACTCACAGAATGGCAATTATTGCCAGACAAAGCAATTATCTGGAAGGCACTCTGATTCTGAGGCTGTACCAATATTATTATGTTGAAAGTGTTTATTTTTTTACTTGTATTTATCGCTAAAGCTCCAAAGAAAGTAAAATGCTTAACCGATCACAAAAATTATGCTAGGCCAAATGTCATATTTACTTGTAGTTATAAGAAGTGACAATCTATAAGCCATTTGGCAATTAAAATACATAATTTAAAAAAAAAAAATCAGTCTACTTAAAATTCTTCTACATTTTAATGCTTAGAGTAACATTAAGCACCGAAAAAAATCATACAGGAAATACTTCAGAGATGTGCAGAACTTAAAACATTAAAAATACCTGACATTAAAGATACCAGCAATTTCTCATTTTGAATAGGAAAATACCTTAATTCTCAGTATATATCAGATTTTGAAAGACAAAAATAAGCTACTAACGTTTCAATTCTGATGCTATATATAGAGAGAGCAAAAGAACTTCACTGGTCAGATCTCTTCTCCTGCCCTTATTTAGGAGCTATTGTTTTTTTTGTGGTTTGTTTTAAAAAGAAATTTGCTTTTCAAATCCCCATTTTCTTAGAATGATGTGGACATCATTCTAAGAATGTCCACAGAGTACTTGCTGCAAACCAGCCATTTCGTTCTCTTGGGACGTTTATACAATCATAGGCAGTGAAATGCAGGTGGGCACATCCATAAATGTGGAGGACAGAGATTAAAATTCTAGCAGCATATTGAAGTATCCAAACCAGACCAAATTAATGTACTCAGGACCAGCAGAAACTGCTTAGGCTTAGTGAAGTACAGAACTGCTACACTGCACAGAAAGAAAGAAAGAGAGGATGGAAGCATTGGGGTTTTGTTTGTTTGCTTTAAATACAAGCTCCCTAGTGTTAAAAACAAGTGCTTTGGTGAACAGGAACTCTCTCAGTCTGACTGTGGCACGTTTTCTCTTCCCTTCCTTCCATTAGTGATCTCCCCTCTGGATATACAACCCTAAAGTCCTGCCAGGACTGGCAGCTACTTCTTTCCAAGGCCCAGAAATCCTTAAGTACCACAGTTTCTATCCAGACATTATCACATCACCACTGAGGTATCTGCCTCCCCTGCTCTCCTGGGCAAGAAGGAGTGTTGCAAGTTGTATGTGAGGGCAGCAGATCCTATGCAGTTGCACTCTTTTCTTTCTCACCTGCGTGGGGAGGCCCTGTGTTACTACCAGCACTTTGTTTAGCCAGCAATTCAGTCCTATTAAAAAATATATAAATAAAATAAGCTTTGAATTACTCTTATTTACACAGAATTTATCCAAGCTGATACAAGCATGCAAATGGCTCCTACAGAACCAGCTCAGGTCCAGTAATGTTTTGCAGTAAAATGCAGTATCACAAAACGGTCATTTGTGAGGCCCAGAAATAATTTAGCTGGCTTTGTGCTGCACAGAACCCTGCTGGTGAGCCTGCAGGACTCCAGCTGACTCCTCCACCACCACCTGGATACCTCAGTCTTGCCTTCCTGAAATGGGAAGCAGTGCAGAATGAAATGCAGAAACCAGCAGGTTGACACTCACTAAGTTCTGGCCCCAGGCCAGCCCTACTGGACAAAAGATAACTCCAGCAGAATCACATTTCAGTTTCCTAGAAAATGTATTAGCATCAGCACAGGACTGTGTGAATGCTCAGAGCCAGTCAGGGCTGATCAGTCATCTCAGAACCCTAAGCACTTGGGAACACATACCAGAAACCAGCTGGACAGGACCAGAGCTAACCACATTGGAAGAACATAAAACAAGTTCTCTCTTCTGGGCACTAACAAGTATTAGTTGAAAAAATACAATTAAGTATTTTTTTTAACTGCAAAGAAAATTTGTAATACGAGAGTAAGGAAAAAGAAAAGCCTCCAAAGACTTGAAATGTTTGATGCACTTATCTTCATTTATTTTACCAGCACTTACTGATCTGCTTTAGGAAGCTCATTTAACATCTTTTGTATGATTTCCATCCGCTTGAGTCTTTCCGAAATTAGACTTTGCTGTGGAGAATCTAGTTCAAGAAACTCTCTTCCTGTCATCTTGAAGTCCTGGATCATAAGGAAAAAACAAACAAATGTAACCAAAGTTACACAGCCCCACTCTGAATCAAATAAACATTTAGACTCTTTGCCACCATGAATCACAAATGTATGTCCTATTTTGCATGGCAGTACTCCAGGTTTAAATTGACTTAACTGTCAAACAGACCTGTAAGGGAAAAAAAAAAACAACCATAATTTGCAAAGGTTTAAAGAAATGATAGATACCTACTCTGCTTTTATATTCCACACATAAGTACTTTTTTTATTGGTACTCCTAGCCAGAGACTTATATACCATGTCAGTTGTATTGGGTTTGTGTGGCAAGGTTTTGGTAGCCAGGGGGGCTGCGGGGGTGTCTTCTGAGATGTCAGAAGTTTCCCCCAGAGTTGTTCCAGTCAGCTCCAAGATGGACCTGCCACTGGCCAAGTCTAAACCTAACCTCAACAAGTGGCAGTGTTTGTGGGATAACATAGCTAAGAAAGGGTAAAAACTACTGCACATGAGCAGCTGGAAAAGAGGAGTGAGACAACGTGAGAGAAACACTCCTGCAGGCACCCAAGGTCAGTGGAGCAGGAGAGGTAGAGCTGTTCCAGGTGCTGGAGCAGAGAGCCCATGGTGCAGACAAAAGTTGAGGAAGCTGTGCTCCTGCAGCCCATGGAGGTCCATGGTGAGCAGTGATCTGCCTGCAGCCCCTGGAGGATCCCATGCCAGAGCCTGAAGGAGGCTGTGACTTTGTGGGTAGGCCGCACTGGAGCAGGCTCTTGGCAGGACCTGTGGCCCCATGGAGAAAGGAGCCCACTCTGGAACAGGTTTCATGGCAGAACATGTGAGCCTGTGGGGGACCCACACTGGAGCAGGCTGTTCCTGAAGGACTGCACCCTGTGGAAGGGTCCCACAATGGAGCATTTCATAGAGAACTGCAGCCTGTGGGAACGACTCAAGTTGGAGAAGTTTGTGGAGAACCATCTCCTGTCAGTCTCCTGTGGGAGAGACTCCACATTGGAGAAAAGAAAGTGATGAACTGACTACAGCAACCCCCATTCCCCACCTCCCTACACTGCTCAGAGGGAGGAGATAGAGAAAATCAGGAGTGAAGGGAAGGTGTTTTAAAGATCTGGCTTTATTTCTCATTACCCTACTCTGATTGATAATATATTAAATTTTCCCAATGTTTAGTCTATTTTGACCATAATGGTAATTGGTGAGTGATCTCCCTGTCCTTATCTGAACCCATGAGCTTTTATTCATACCTTCTCCTTGTCCCGTTGAGGAGGGGGAGCAACATAGCATCTTGGTGGCTACGTGGCAACCAGCTAAGGTCAACCCACGCCAAAAACTCTCGATTAAACCTGGTGTTTAGTGATTCAAATGCTTGTTTTCTAGACATTTAACCCCAGAGGAAATTCTCTCAGACTCACTTTGCCAGCCATAGTTACCTTAAGTTACTCTTACAACGTGAGGGCTGAGTTGCAAGCCCTATCTGTAGGACTGCGCCTGTTTCGGTTGGCGCTTGGCAGGATGCAGGAACGGAGAAAGCAGGACAGGCGGGCAGGATCTCACTGGGATCACTCCAGGCCGTCTCAGGAGGGTCCCAAACCTGTGCCCTGGGTAATGCACAGACACAGCGTCACGGAGCTGTAACCATCCACCGCCCCCTGACCCTCGCACACGTCTTGCACACACATCTATCTCTCCCCGATCTTCGCACGCCGCTGGAGACCCCCAACCCCCGGCTCAGGACAGAGCCCCTACCCCCAACCTTCAAAGCCCAACCTTACCAGCCCCTGCACCCTGCTCACCCTCCCGGCCACGCCGCCGGGCTCAGGCTCCGACCTTGAGATGCCCGGGCACAGCCGGTCCCGCCGGGCCGCTCCCGCCGCCCCGGCCCCGCCGCCCACAACATGGCTCCGCCCACCGCACGCCCTCTTCGTGGGCGCCGCCATCTTGGCCGCTCACGTGACCCATGGGCCTCAGAGGCCGTCTCCGATTGGGCAGCTGTCTTCTGGCCCAGCATGGCGGCGGCCGATTGGGCGCGGGGCGGGGGCGGGGCGCGGCGCTGGTTGCCGGGGCGGCGAATGGCGGCGGCTCCTCGATGGCGGCGGGGCTGAGCGCGGACCCTGCACCGGCGGCCGGGACGCGGGGGCTCCCCCTCCCTGCGGCGGGGGGAGGCCCAGTCCTCGGGGTAACCCGCTGACCCCCTCCCCTCAGCCCGCGCCCTCTCCCCGCCCGCCCTCCTCAGCCCCCGCGCCCCTCCCGCCCGCCGTCCCCTTCCCTCGCCACCGGCTCCTTTGTGCTCCCTGCCCGTCCCGCCCTCCCGAGCGCCCCTCGCCCCGGCTGCGTCTCGCTCCGCCCCCCCACCGTCCCCTCCCTCACCCTGCAGTTCCTGCGTCCCGCCTGTCTCTCGGCAACCCCGGGGGGGATTGTCCTCGTCCTTAAACCCAGCCCAGCTCCTCCAGCTCACCTGCGCCCCATGCCAGTCCCCCCCGACCCAGCCAGCCCTCTGTGCCCTGTCCCGCCTCAGAACGCAGCACAGCCCCCCTTGGGTTCGGGAGAGCCGGGGGAAGAAGGGAGGGGTGGGTTGAGAGCGGGGAGAGCCCCAGCGCCCTGCCTGGGAGTGCGGGGACGGGCAAACTCCGGTTGTGAACACGAAAGAGCAAAGCAGAGCCGCCCCCTTCGCAAACACGGTCCTCATCGCCCGTAGACGATGCGAAGCGAAGCCCCGGCATGTGCATCGCAGCTCCTCATTCGCGCGGGGAAGCGAAGCGCTCGAAGCTTGTTCGCCTTTTTCATACGTTTCCTTAACGAAGTAGATGAGGAAAACCTATCCCGTTTCTGTTTCTCTTTTTGTTTCTGTGTTTGTTTTTTTTTTTCTTCCAGAAAAAGGGAGAGAGAGAGAGAGGCGCTCGTATTGAAGCCAACCAGCTGCGCTTCTGAGTGGGAAACTCCGGACTGATCTCATGGCTTGCTTTTTATTTCATTAATACTTCATTGTTTCTGAAAATGAACCATTTGTGAAGCTCTTCTCCTAACTCTGCTTATTCCTCTTTCATGAGGTGGCTGCTGCTGTGGAAGGGAAGGAATGGCATGAAGTAAATGGCTCCAATATAAGCAATCTGCTTTGCCCCAGTGCCCAGTGAGCAGCACTGTCACTTTAATAATTCCAGGTCAAGGGATTGCTTTCCTCGTTTTCAATCCTCTTTTAATACATGGGAGGATCAGAGGGACATTAAAGACCGTAAGGCTGGGTGGCTTGCAGATAATAAAAATGAAAGTGACTGCCCAGTGACTTCTGTTGGGTAAGAGAGTGATATTTGAAGGCTGTTGTCTGGTTAGGAAAAAGGGACCTTTTCAGTCTGCTGTGTAGTCCTCTAATACATAGCTAGCAAAATTAATTCAAGAAGTTAAAGAGACACTTCGGATTGTTTTTGTCTTCCTCCTTATTTGGATTATTTGGGCGTCTTTGTCCTGCAAATGATATGTTTTTGAGCATGTACAGGTGGAGTATTGAGACAGCTGCCTAGAGATGGACTGTGCCTTAACTGTATTGCATAAAATCTTTTAATTTTCAAACTTTGCTGCCAGAAGAGGAGTTATAATAAGGTTTTATATTACCAAGGAACATTTGCTCTTGTATTTTTATAGATTCAGATATATTTTAAAGAAATTGAAAACATCTCTTAAAAAAGAATCAAAAAGCTTTTTTTTCCCCCTTCTTTTTTTTTTTTTTTTTTTCTTATTTGTGGAAAGCATCAGAAGTCCAATACAAGGGAACAGCAAGTATTCATAGAAATGAAGATTGAAGCTGCATTTCCTAACTGAACTGTAAAAGTGTTCTGCAGTAGATAGCCAATTCTTGACCTCGCAGAGTTCTTCAGTAGTACTTCGTTAGTACCTGTAAATAAGTGCTTGCAACCAGATTCAGAAGTAGGAAGAAGAATGCCAGTCAAGAAGAAAGGTGGGCTATGAAGCTTCATATCTCATATTGCGTCTTCATTGTGTTAGATTGTTGATTTCTGGTACTTACAAATTCAAATTAAAAATGTTTGAATGGGGAATGGAAATGGTTTGTCTTTTGCCCTGAAAATGGGAGAACAATCTGTGCTCTTACAATAGTAGTTTTAAGAAGGAATTTTATGCCATATTTTAAGAGTTATGTCAAATTTGGCCTCAAATAGATTTTTTTTCCTAAAGCTCAGCCATCAGAGATTTTGAACAGACACCAAGAGGAAAGCTTGGCATTTAATTTTGTGAGAAGACTCTCTTAAAAATGCCAATAAATTTTAAAACCATAGTTTAGTCGGTTATCTGTTCATTACATGTTTGGCAGATAAACATCAGTATCAGTAGCAGCATAAATAAATAACAAGGTTTCAAAACCAATTTTAAATAAAAGTTATGGGACTTGTGTTTTGAAGGTGATTTAAACATGTGGGTTTTTTTCAAATATGATTTTAATTAACTTGGATTTCCATTTTTAATACAATATAAAACTACTGTCTTTATGGCTGTAGTATGGCAGCATTTAAGGAAAGATGAACAACCTTATGTTTTGTCCCTTCTCACCTCAAGTTTGGGATGGCTGCAAGAATAGAAGCAGCTTAGGAAAATGAGATTTCCAGTGTTCAAACAAAAACTGTGATATATATGAAGGCAAATTCTTACTCTGAAAACACTTGTATACCTTTGGTTATATCTGCTTGCAAACAAGACACTGATTTAAAGTTCCTTTATGTGCTAATAGAATAAATGGTATGTGAACCTTTTTTTATTCAGCTCATCTGTCCAGATGCATGCTCTGATACATCCCTGGATCTGATAATACAAAATGTGGGGGAAGGAGCAGAAAGTGAATATTACAGAACAGATATGAGGATATGGTTGATGTGACTTTGGGTTCTCTTCCTTGTAGGAGTGACCCTTCATTTTTTGATGAATGAATTAACATTTACTATGTAAATAATGATAAAACATGCAGATTACTAGAATTATTTTCATGCAAAAAACAATAAATGGGATTTTGTGTTTGTCTTTTAACACATGACAGTGTAGAAATGAATTTTCAAAACTGAAATATTTTAACGGATCATCCTGTCATTCATTATAATTGCTTACAGTTATGTGTAGTAAAGGTGGAAACGTGTATGGAGGAGTAACATCCTTAATAATTCATTCTGCTGTTCTGTCAACGTGTCACCCTGATGTACTGGTGAGGCTCGTGTTCTACCTGTTCTCAAAAGGAAAGTTGAGGCTGTTTTCATATTTTAACTCTTGATTTAGGTGATTTACATCAAGGATGTTTCTGTGATGGATGTTTAGCTGTAATTCAGTTTCAGAACACTTGCTGCAGGATTTTTGGGGTCAAATCTTACTTTGTGCTGAAGTTATATTGGCAATCACAGGGGTCCCTTCTGGCCTTAAAAATCTGTGGATTTCCTGTTTGTTTCCAGGCAGTTTGGGTCAGTCTTAGTGTACATCAAGGCTTAAATTTCTTCTTCTGTCTTATGAGGATGTGTATTTTGACTATGTTAAAATATAAACTCAAGAGACCCAAATATCCTTCTTGAAATATTATAAATGTAACATCAGTCGGTGTACTGGAGTTGCCAGGGTGAATGACTTTGAGTATTAAATGGGTGTTGTTAAAAATATGTTTAAGCATGTAAATTGCAGGTTTAAAAATGTTAATGAGTCAGCAGCTTCATTATGATTTTGAATGACTTAATTTGTCTTGTTCATGCAGTAGATTTCAACTTTCTAAACATAATTAAAAGCATGCTGGCAACTTGAAACACACTACCATTTTTAAAAAAACCTGCTGTTGTTACAAGTAATCCCTGTTACTGCCATAAATATGAAGGAGATTGAGGGAATTCCGCCCCCCCCCCCGCCGCCATTTATTTGCTTTATGGTTTTGACAGCATTTTGTGTCTAACTAATTTTATATTTCTGATGGTGATTTATTTTCCCTTTCTGGTTTTATGTATTTGGGAGATCATGTCTACTCCCTTTCCTACTCAGGCCATCTGTAGAAATCTCGGTGGGATACTCTTTTCTAGGCTGTGCAAAAGTATGTATTTCAATAGCAGCATTAAGGACAGGATTATCCCTCTCCATTTCAGCACTTTATGTGTTACTATTTTGGATTTGATCAAAATATTCTCCTAAAATCAGTATTGAGACAGAGAAACCTGTGAAAACAGGCTTTAAAACATCCTGATATTTATTGCTGGAAGTTGTTACCAAACACTGCTTTCTTTGGCACTGACTGGTTCTGGGTCTTTCTAAAGAACAGCGTATGCATTTTGGGAATTTGCCTTTGAAAGGTCTCACATCCAGTACCAGTCTTCAAATTTCACATAACTTTGCACCTAATTTACACTTTACCTTGCTGCTTGATATGATGTCTTCCACCTCTCTTTTAGAAGTCCAGGCCTGTTTAGTCAGGAAAAAAATAGTTTACTTAATAATAAAAATCATGTAACTTATAGAAAGCATTAATTTCTTATGGATGTGGAAAAAAGGATTGCTTGTGGTTCTAAACATGTTTATGTCAGTAAATGATTGCCATTGCCTGATGAGCTAGAGTGAAAGGATTTTGTTTTCTCACTTCATTCTGACGGGGGATAAGGCTCCACATTCCCAACAATGTTCGCAGAGTTGACATGTTTGCTGTCAGTGTCAGCAAAAAGTGAGGCTGGAAAGGGAGAACGGAGTATCCTGTGGCGTTGAATGTGTTCCCTTCAGATGAGGGGCGGGACACTGATGCACTATTGCTGCGTGATTAAACAAATGGCTCTTTTCTTTGGCTTTTGCTCATCTTTCACTTTTAAGAACATTTCAAGTTTTAAATCAAACCAGACATCTCACTTTAGTTACAAAATGATTTGTTGGACAGTACCTTTTAGAGATGATATGAGATGAACAAATTTGATAAGTCAATAAATGCATTATTTTTGCTTAATTTTTACTTTACTTTCGCAAACTAGAATATATATGAATACAGCTATTCCTAAAAAAGTTACAGAACTTCTTGAGAAAAGCTTTGCTTCAAATTAAAATAGAACTACCATACCGAAGTGAAGTCAGGTCTCTGAGTGGAGTCGTGTTTTCTTTCCCTCCCTCTCTTCCTGAGTTGCTTAGCTGAGTTGATTTCTCTGAACTGTAAGGGGACTATGTTTAGATCTGTAATTGCATATATTTTGGATTCATCAACAGAATAGTTAAGAGCATAAAATGTTACTGAAATTCATCCATGTCTTTCGCAGTGATGGAAAGAGCTAATTAAATCCATACTCCTCTGTGATGGAGAGCAGATTCCAGTTTTGAAGCCCTGCTTGCGGTTCATATGGATATGGATATGGCAGGAACCCCCACCTCTAGATGTCTGGCTGCACATGTGCTTCTAGACTAACCCTGTCATCATCTTTGCACATCTAGCTGTGTCTAGGCAGTAAGAGATACTTCAGTGGTGGGGTTTGTATTGCCTTTGTCCTGCTTTCTGTCATTCACAGTGAGAGGGATTGTATCTTTAGCCAGATGAAACCTGTGGGCCGCTATTAGTACCATCTTGTTCCACATTGTAGCCAGTTTATAAAGACCTGCTGATTCTGTTTGTCATGGAATAACTTTTTGCATCACTCCTTTTATATTAAAAAATGCCTTCCAGACCATGCATTATTCAGCACATCAATGTCAATAATTAAAAAGTATCAATCTGATCCCATATGGACAACTTCTGGACCATTTAGAAGAATCTGACAGATGCACTTTATGAAATGCTAGGTTTTGTAGTGGTAATGCTGACTTTATGTGGCTGGCCTGTTGGAAGGAAGAGGTCTAAAAGCAACTCAGCAGGAACTTTTAAAGCAAAGTTCATAAAGGACCAGACAAAGCTAGCTCCCATTAATGCACTGGAGTTCTTCATGCATTAATTCTCTTTCAAACTGGCAACTTCTTTTTACATAACAAAATTTAAGTTTAGGATCGTAACTTTTCATGCTCAAAAATCTCACTGAACGTAGTTTCAGGCTCCTCACATCTTACAGCAGCAAATCCAACATGTATTGGAAATTTTGTTTTTCTTTCACTTGTAATAAGTAATCAGTATTACAAGATTTTTGTCCTTTCAGTTGCTGAAGGAATATTCTCAAATTAGTACGTGGCTAAAAGGCCACATCTTCCACTCCAAGTTTTGTTCGACTGCCTCTCAGTTTTTACAGTTAATTGAATGGGAGCAGTGCGAAGTTTAGGTTGTTTTTACGGACTGTGGAAAGTACAGTTTCAGATTTCTGAGAGTTAAACAAGTGTCAGAAAATTGCTGTCTGAACTGTGCCAACCTTCACCACAAAGCTTTGATTTAAAGATGTCACTGCTTTTGTGGCAGTGAGCTTTTTCCAGCCAGACATTGTTTCTGCTGTGGGAAACAGTGAAGTATTTTGCACAAGAAAGGACTATAGGAGCAGGCATTGTACAGAACAAGTCTTTGTTCTTTACACGCAGGCTGGAAAGCTAAGGACTGGAACAGTGAAATTTATACTCTTTTTCCAGCTCTGCTGTTGTTATGATACATTTCAGGTATTTAATGCAGATCTACCCCATTTTAGTTGCCTTGCCTATACAGGTGCCCAACTTTTTGTCCTGGAGGGTTGCTTTGGTCAGCAGAGAGAGGTCCACCTCCAAAGGGTGTTTTAACACACCTAAGATCTGAATTGCCTTCTTGACAGTTGTCATTTTCTCCCTCCATAGATGAAACACAGAGTAACCACATTAATTCACCTCAGTTAGATAATGTCACAGTTGCTCATATAAATTTTAGTGGAAAAAGCATTTCCTTATCTGACATAAATATGAGAGCTGACACGTGTTCTATGAGTGCTATAAATTAACACTATTCATTATTTTTGTGGGAAAAAAAGTGTTAAAAATTATTGTACTGTTAGTCACTGAAGCTAGAAGCAACCATAGTGTTGATACAGACACAAGAGGCAGCTGTGCATCCTCTCCTCCATTCCTGTTAAGTGCATATTGCACTCAGTAGAAGCAATGGTGTCTTGCATTATAAGCATAATCTTTTTCGTTGTCATGCTCTCTTCTTTCCTTCTGAATTTGTTCCAGATGGCCAAGTTAGATGTCAGAGGGTAACTATGGAGAAAAAGCTGAATTTCTAACTAGTAGCCAGATGTGCTAAAAGATAATAAAAAGCCCCTGCTTCAGCAAAATGAGTAAAATCTGCCTTACTCAGATATACTTTGATCAGGTCATACCAGGTTCTTGCTTCTTACAAGTATTTAAGGTCTGTTTCACTGTGGTATCTTCGTATATTTACTGTGGATTAACACAGTGCCAAACAACAGCTTTATAAAAAGAAAGATCATGTTTTCTCTTGCTGTATTCATCCCCGAAAGAGTCAGCAAAGCTGCTTTGACCTGATGGGTGATGTCAGTAGTAATCAGCATACAAAATCTGTGAAGAAAACATTTGCTCTTTATTGGATGTGGTCCAGAAGAGTTTTTGGTGGCAGTAAACTCTTTGCCAGAACATGTTACTGATTTTCACTTCTGGCTGAAGAGGTTAATGCTCCCTTCAAAACATATTTATCAAGGAATTGAATTATGTAGAGTTTCCTGGAAAGAGGGATTCTGGACAATTTATGGTTTTGCATACAGAAACCAATCTTTTCTGTATTAGAATGCTGCTCTCTCCCCTGTCTGTGTAGCATATCTTGTGTTGTGCTTAGTGGAATAACTCAAGTCACCTTCCAATTCAGTCCTAGGTGTTGAGCACCACAGTTACACTACTTTGCAGATGGGTGCCTGCTGAGCTGTGCTTTTAACAATGACAACAAAAAAAACCCCAAGAACACCAAACCCAAGCTTTGCAGATCTACAGACTGAGTTGCTTAATGCCTAAATGTAGAATTAATTTTGTGTTGTTGCGTGAAGGTACATGTTTTGGTTATTGACTCAGAGACTGTAGTGTAATACAAAGGTTCTGAAAGTAAATATTCCAATGTGAATGTGAGAAAATGTAAGACCATAATGCCTGTTTCGGTAATAAATAAAGATAATTTGATCTCATTCCATTTCTTTTTTTTTTTTTTCATCACTAAAAAGACATTCATGTTACTGAATTAGATGGGAATTTTTATAATTCCAGTTGTTTTCTTTCATGTTATACAATATTCTTTTGTATGTTTGGAATTATTAATTCCTGACCAGACATCTTTTTGTTAGCTTTATGTCTCATTCCAGTTTTCAAATTTATGTTAATTTTCATACTGAATGTTCTTCTAAAGGAAAAAAAAAAAGTACACAGCTGCCTTCTTACATGTATAACTCCTAGTTTTTACTCTTGCAACTATGCATGAAGTTCCAGTAGTTTTGTGTATTACATACAGTTAGATTGTAAGCTCTTCAAAGCAGGGTGCTCTAAGAATTTTACACTATTAACATGTCAGTTTACATTTATTCAGCTGTATAAATAAGAGAGTTTAATTTGGTGCTACATAATTGTGGAGGTTGTGGCTTCATGTTTTGTTCCATCTTCATATTTGCATTGTTGATTTAGCAGTAGCATTTGCACATCTAGATTTTAACATCATGACACTTGAAAGGCAGAAAGAAGAAGTTCAGGTAAAGCTTCTTATAACTGCAGGATTTCTGAAGTTTTCGAAAGAATCTCAGGGCCCAAGAATTGGCTTGTTCCAATGTCTGAAACACAAACAGGTCACCTGTGTAGACAGGTCACCAACTTTGAGAAAGGATCACCAACAAGCAGTCCCCACATTACCTTTGACATAGCTGGGGAAAAAAAGAGCTCCCTGGAAAAAAGGAATGACCCTGGTGAGATGATCGGCTAAAGCCCTTCTGTGTGCCTTAAAGGAAGGTAGGAAGAATCCAAGTTCCAGAGTGAGCCCCTGATAATAAGTGGGCTCTGCCTTATTATAGTAAGGTATGATGCATAAGATTAGCAGATCATACGTGAAATGCTCGAGAATGGTTTGTGGATTTTATGCTGAACCAGTCACTGATCTTTATATAGTTATCCTATTCCTTGGGTAAATACAGTTAGTTAAGTTTAAAGGAATATATTTAAAACAAAAAAATGTGTAAATGCAGCAATTTAACAGAACATATGCATGGTTATATGTTGTAATACCAAGTGTAAAAGCACTTGTATAACAAACTTACATTGCAGGTAATCATTATTGATAACTGAAATTTTTCTTAAGGAGCCAATTTCCCTTATAGTAAATTAGACAAAAAGTCTGATTCTTAACCAATAGGGAAAAAAAAAAAGGATCTAAGGACTCTTTTATCATCATCACTTCCCTGGTCGTCTCTGTATGTGTTTGTGTGTGTGTGTGGCGTTTCATAAAACTCATGGTGCTCCTGTCCAGCTTTATCCACCAGTAATGTACTGTAACAGTACTGATTCTCCAGCCGGAGTTGATAAGTAAGTTGTGCTTTAAGACAAATTTAATTCCAGAAAAGAGAATAAGAGGCTTCGAAAATGTACACGGTGTACAAAAGTTGCAGAGGCTGGAATTGCAAAAAAGGAGACTGAACAGGGGAGGGACATGATAAGTCACAGAGTATAGAAGAGGCTGTCAAGGGAATAATTGTGGTTCGCTTTACATGTTGACATCTGGAAGACAAGTAGTTGTCCTGATTTATAACAAAAAAATATGGGAATTACGTAGTAGAAAAAGTTGCTAGAATCCTCAAGTACTGAAATCGGATGGTGAGAGATCTTGTGGATGTTGTGAGAGGTTATCAGTGCAGGTAGACAGGCATCTGTGCTGTGGTTGTAAGCCTAAGTCCTTCTGCACAGCACAGAGGTGAACTGAAAACCTGCTAGGGCTCCTCCAGGCCCGTTGTGTCTGTCTGTTCTGCTTCTCAGAGAATTCAGCTGACACATCATAGCTTAACTTCTGCCCTTCAAAGCAATCTGGCTTGCAGAGCATTTAGCCCTCTGCATTGCATAGTCTACACGAGTCAATATTCTGGAACAAGAGACTGCTGTGCAACTTCTGTGGTTCAGTGACAACCTTTTGCGTGAGTTGTTTAGAGCACAGAGGCCTGCAGTAACACAACTGCATATTAACACTGTCTAGTGCAGCTGCCTGTCCTCCTTATTTTAGTCCAGTTTTCCTCGGCATTTGCATGTATTGTTTCCCCTTAACATACCTGAGCATATAATGTAGCCTTGTTCTGAGAAATTTGCTGTTGTACTTGCATAGGAGCTCTCTCATACTGTCTGGCCCATTTCTTGTCTACTGACAGCATAAAGGTCTAGAATAACAGCTGAACTGTTCCTAAATTTGTGTTTTGCAGGAAAACAGTCTGTATGGAGAATTCACCTAGGCTCCAGTTAATTTAGGGATGTCACACATTTTACTGTTTATGGAAAGTGAGGGCAACTCAGAATGCAACCTTAACTTTAAATATCGTTCCTTGAAAGACTCTCCACTGGCCCAAGATTAATCTTCACAACATGTTGGCCTCCTCTGTGTGCCAGTCTGGTTACTAAAAGCTGAAACTCCGTAAACAAGCCTGCCTTTACTAACCCTCATTTTTTTGTCCCTCTATTTTCCCTAGTGGGACAGAAGATGGGTTTAGGTGTCATGCATACTCTCAGGAGCTGTTATTTTTAACCCATTTGCTTGCTTGTTGTGAGCACTCCTTACACTGGTGTTTGTCATATACCTAATGCCTTATGTTTTTTCCTGAAGGTTGCATAACCCATATGCTGCCTTTTCTTCATAATTCCTTAAAGCCCTACTGCAGATATTAAGGCCTGAGATGCTGGGAGCTTTCTGGTTTGTACAGGGGCACACATTCCCTGCCTGCTTTCCCTCTGTACAGTCAGCTGGATTATTTGTGTCTCATATTGATGTTTATGTGTAAATATTTTATGATTGTCATTTGTCTAATAGTTCTCAAGCCTTTTGAAGCATGGGAGCCTACAGCTTGTGTTTCTCTCAACTGTCTTAGTGTACTATTTCTTACATTTCTTTCTAAAATTTAATTGGCTTTTTTACACCTCCTCTGTGTGTACAGAGCATTGCATATTAGCAACATTTATTCCATTAAGTTTGCTGTTGTGTGTGAAGATTAGGAAAGGTAAATGAGTTACTAATGGCTTCGGCTTGGATCAGGCCCAAGGCAGGTTGCCTGGAAATTTCTTATAAACTACTGCATCCCCTCCTGCTTATCTGTAGCAACCTTTTTTAATTTTTTGAGCTTTCTGGAGCAGAGAATCAAATCAAGACAAAGTAATAGAGGCAGGGACTCAAATGTCTGGCTCATTTGTCAGTGGTCACCTAAACAAAGGTGTGAACTCTCCAAAAGCAGTTTTTGGGATCCTTTTTCTTCTAAAGTTATCAAAATTCACCAAGAACACTTCCCTTGCTCTCTTTTGTGGTGCTCTGGTTCCATTTCTCACTTCTGTTCTAGCTTCTGTGGTTTATCTCTCCCATCCTTCATGCCTTTTCCAGCTTCAGTGCCCTACATTTTCCCAACTCTGGTTATCAAAAATCCAGAAAGGGTCTCCTGAAATGTGTTGGTGTGTTTTTCTTTTAAAACTCACCTATGCAGCATACTTTGCAAGTCAGGCAGAAAATAATCAAAATACACCTTAAGAAAAGGAGGAGATAAAATTATGGGGGGAAAAAAAAGAGAGAAATTGAAATAACAAACCCCTTCATCTTATCAACTAAGGGTATAGTTTTCAACTAATGTTAAACTTATCTTTCATTGATGAAACAATAATATTTTTCATTTAAGTCAACATTTTTCCATATTGTTGCACTCCAAAAGTATTTTCATTCACAAACTCTTGATGCCAACTGGGGGAAAGAAATGTAAATGTCATCCTAAACTTACTGACAGACTGGTAGCCTTGATTCCCCAAGAGCCAGTGGTTGCCTAGTAGTGCATTGTGCTGGTGCAGGGCACTGTTAATCAGCTGACTATGATTTCTTCCAAGTACAAGGCTGAACTTGCTGAGTTTGGAATCGTATTTTCATTTTTTTCTCTCCATCTTCTGAGCTACCATGCTTTATAGCAGGAGTTGGGTAACAGGATCATACTCCCATGGAAAGCAGTATCAGATCTCAGTAGACTGTGGGTATTCAAAGCATAACAATTTGAGTGCAAAATTGGTGACTGGTCCTGGCTGGCTTCATATATGGGTCCATATAGAGTTCAGCCTGTGTAGCTTTATTGTGGCTGTAAGGAGCTCTAATGGCTTGAAAATAGCCATGTATTCATATATATAGCCATAACAGCATCTGCCTGAATTACCTGGAGCTTCCATTATCTGTTTCTTTCGTTTGAGTCATCATCATTCAACATACCCTGGACTGAGGAGTTTTGAAGATGGAGCTGCTTGGAAACTGGTTTTGAATCACATTTATCTTTCGTATATAGTTTCAATTAATCCTGTTAGTCAATTCTTTTCCAAATTAATTATTGAAATTTATTTATAAACTTATATTCTCTTCAGATATAATACCTGTAGTTCATCTAAAGGATAAGTAGTTCAAATAACGTCTGAGAGATATCTAGGAAAGCTGTTTCCTGTATGCTATGGCTGTTCCCAGAGATGGCATGTTGTGTGACCTGCCATGTGCTGTGTCATCCTCAGTCCTGTATGAAGACACAGTACATATCAAAGATTTTTTAATCAACCCAGTCTCCACACCAGCAGAGCTGCAGTGTTTCAGCTCTACCAGGGGTATACAGTAAATGCAGTAGTGAGTATAGTTAGAGGAACTCAAACAGCACAGAAATGACTTCCAACCCTGCTGCCTTCAAGCAAGTGCAGCTCCCAGGGGATTTTATGTTTTCCTTAAGTAAATACTTGAGCATTGAGTCTGCAGTCAAAGTAGTGTACAGGTAACTAACTCAAAGCGCACCACAGAACTTGTTCCTCTGTAGTGCTGCAGCTGTGGAGTTTTTTAGACCAGTGTAAAAAGTGTACTTAAAATACTGACATTTTGATTTCAGAGCATTTGCATGCTTTTCCTTACTCACTCACTTGGCAGTTGTATGAGTGTCCTCACAAGAACCTG